GTTGGGTGCTCTTGCTAGTGACCCTCAAACTGCTTGAAATTAGTTTGCGCACGATGTTGCTATCCAGTGCACTTAAAACTGTGCTTTCACGTGCGCAGCGCCTGCTAAAAATAACATAAAATCACAGATACACTCAAAGCCGCACGCTCATATACATATAACAATTTTAGCTTTGGTGTTAATTAATTTTTCTTATACTCATTTTGTTTTTTTTTTTTGTGTTCGTTTAGTGTAATTCTCATGCACTTTGCGTTCGTTTTCGCGGGGTTTTGCAAATTTTATGTGTAAATTTTATTTTAATTGCTCGCGGCAAAAACACTTTTGACAACAACACAGGCAATCTAAATAGCAATATAGACACGATTGCAGCCACAATAACAAGACGATTATTTGTTTTCATGATTTTGTTTCTCTTGAAAACCGAAATGCTTAAATTAAAAATAATAATAAAAACCTAAAGCTGTCGCTTAAAAAATAAGTTCTTCAAGTCAATAAGTATTTAGACACTTTTATGCTAATGTTCAGTGAAATATGGGCTAGTATTTTATGCATTATTGTACTTTCGTTGACACATGTTCTAGAATTAGGATTTATTTCTCCCTCACTTTGACTACAAAGTAACAATAAACTTAAATGGTTCTTCTTGTCTTATTAATATTTAAGATTCTGTTTAGGAAAAGGTTGTAAAATTACTTATAATTTTCACAAAAAGCTACCAATACATGAGATACAATTCTTTAAATTTTTTCAATATCAAAAACCGTATATGTAAAAGTATATGTATTAACGCCTTTCAATTTGTACGCACATAAACACACAGACAAATGCCCCTAACAATATGTCACAAGTGTGCGGTGCAGGGGGTCGTCTGATTTGCGGGGAAGGAGGCGTTGCACAGACTACAGGCAGTCCCATAAATTTGATTAAATAAACTTTTAGTTTTGCGCTTTTTTAGACGCCTAAACTCTGGCGTTCATTTGTTTTTTTTTTTGTTCCGCTCACTTCTATTTGGCGCAGGCAGGAATGCGACAAAAACTATGCTAGATGAACAAGCAATAAACCATAAATTTCTTGTTCTCCGACAGCAACAAAAACGGCAACTAGCGGTTAAGCGTTTAGGGCTTGCCGGGCGGAGAAATGTGGTATATATAGGGTCTAAGAGAAAGGGTCGGAAAAGGAATGCTAAGGTGTGCTTATGTACACCAGGGCTGCAAGCCATTTAAAATGTTTGGTTTTACTCTGAAACTTGGCCAGAGTTTGTTTAATGTTGGGATTTTTGTTTTTTGAAGGAAATTTGCTTTTGGTTTTAGTGCTTCAGGTTTCACTGCTTGTTAGCTAAGAATCTTAATTGAAATGTAGAATACTCTTTTTGTTTTATTTTAAGAGCAAATTTAGCATAATATACTTTTGTTTTTAATCAGAATAAGCAATTTATAATGCTAACCTTGAAATAATTAAATTTTGACATGCAAGTTGCCAACGTTGCGTATGAGTTATATAAATATTAAAATATACGCCCCAAAACATCAAAAACATATGTTAACATTGAATATTGAATAAACAATACTTTGTCCTATTAGCAAAATTATAATACTGACAACGGTGCGTATGAGTAATAAGAATATTAAGCAACTAACAAGAATACGTATACGCCCTGACAACACTTGAATACGGAAAAAATTACCCTAACGGCTAAAAATCTTAAAATGACACTCATGCTTCTTAGGAATATTACATTTCATAGGAATGAGTCAATTTGTTTGTTTTTAGATTACACATACGCCGTGTGTACGTGTAACATTGCGTATACGTCTTGACTAAACTTTGTACTTTTATTTTTTGTCTATGTCTTAAACATGCTTATTATTTATTTAGGGTTCTTTTTGCTTTGAGTTTCTGTTTATGGTTCTGAACTTAAAAGCATATTAAAGTATCTTTGGCTTGAATTAAATGAAATTTTAAAAAGATGGCAGCCCTGGCACCTGTATGGTACATGCAAAATAAGTGTGTGTGCGTCAGTGTTGTAAATTTAAATTATTGTTCAGCTGTTTGCTGTCTTTTCTCTTTTTGTCTCTCTCTTTCTGCTTCTGCCGGTTGCAATATGCTTTGTTATGTTGTGTAGCCCCATCTCGTTCTCGCCTAGTAGCCGTGTAGTTACACTGTCCAAAGTGACAAAAGCATTTTCGGCGACTTTGGAGTGGGGAAAATTGGGTGGTTGGGCGGTTTGGGTGGCAGGGTGGCGTTTTAGACTTTGGCGGCAGCGCGACTCGTGCATGTAAAATGTTGGTAAAATAAATTGTTGTAGCTCTTTCCGCACTCTCTTCTCCCATTCTCTCTTTCTCTCCCGAGGCTTGTGTGTGTGTGCGGAAAAATCTACATTTTCTGCGTTTAACCCTCTGTTTGCTGAAAGGATATAATGGTTTAAATACCTAAATTTAAGTATTTTATTTAATAACATATTCACTTCATTAAAATATGAATATTTAAATTAAAAATTGAAATGAAGAGGCTTCAAATTTTTAAAGTAATAAAGTAAATAAAGTATTTACAAACGATTAGCTTTGCTATTAAAATAACTAATATACGCTCATTATATTTTGAATATTACGTAAAACCCAACAGGGAGATAAGAACACATCTAACGCAATTTAATATTGGGAGAATAGTCGTTGGTGAATGTGGGTTAATTTTGATGCGGGAGACATAACATAAGAAGGAAAATGTCAGCAGATGGCAAAAGAGACGTAAACATAATTTAACATCAGTTATGTGCAAACGTGCGAGTGTGTGCATGTGCGTTGACATGACAGCGATAAGGATAAAGATAAAGACATTGTCCAACCGCTCGCTAACTGCTTTAATCAGCTGATAAGATTGTGTGCTTATGCTTCACTCTGCTCTGCGTTGCTGCGTTCGGTTCGGTTTACTTTTTTTTTTTTTTTTTTTTTTTTTATCAAGCTCGACAGTCCGTTTTGTAATACATCCGGCAAATATACAGGCAAGTGTATCAGTAAATACACGAACTCCCCGGGCATACACAATTACACATATATTTATGGCACTGCTTGTTGGTTCGCTATCACAAGGTACTTGGCGATAACAACTCAACAAGTTATAATGGAATGCCACAAGGCCTCGCTGCTGGTCTCTGTGGGTTTTTGCAGTTAAAACTGGTCAAAATTGACGTCACAGATGCAGTTAAAACCGGTCAGCCTATTGACGTCATCGTTTTTGACTATCATTTGATTTGAACGAACCCAAAAACAAGCAAAAAATCCAATTACCAATGCCCTTAGGGCATTTTTGAGTTTTATATATATGTATGAAAATTTTTAGGCTAACAAAAAATAATTTTGTACAATTTAAGTATATGATTTCGCCATTGGTATAAATCCAAAATCATTTACGGAAAACTTGCAAATAAAATTGAGTTGCAAGGAATATTTATTTATTTGCACTAAGAAAATATAACACAAAACATTATTCAAGTCAAAACATCCGTTACGCCAAGAAAAACTTTAAAAATAAACATTTTGGGTTTCAGAATATGGTGAAAAAATGAATTTGATTTGATTTATTTGCATATTTAAGTGTCAACGTCATCTTTCGACCTAAAGTTAATGACTCAGTTATTTCGTCATTTCCAACCTGTTTATTTATGCCAACCAATATACAAAAAATCTTTAACTCATGATGACGTAACGTTATTTGAATATTTTGTTAAGTCATTCAAAAGGTTATAAGCAATTAAAACGACCTAGATAATGGCCAACCAATATCATTGTCTATTATCAGGGTATTCAATTGATAAGATCGCTTTTATATCTCCAATTGAAAACTGTAATTTTAATTACCTTTATGCCGACAGCAGGAATTTTTGTTGGACTTATTTCACCAACTTGGTTAATTGGTGGGCGATATTGGGCAACATCGATTTATTACTGATATATGTTAAAAAAACAACCAGAATACTATACCCATCACCTTAGCCTTAGCCACCTCTGTATAATAATTACCCTCTGATACTTACTTTTCCTTGCATCGTTTAAGTTACGATAATTCACTCAGTGAAGTGAGAAAAACCCATTTGTATCGATACATAAGTTAATGTTAATTTCCAGCATTACGTAAATACATTTTCGGTTTGTGTTAGTTTATTTTTCATGCGTTGTGTTTTTTGCGTTCTGTGTGTAAATGTGTTTTATTAGCCTCCTCCTCCAACCCCAAAAAGAAACTGGCCACATAAGCATTTCGACTAGATAAATTCAAACATTGATATATATGTTTGCAACTTGGCGCTGAAATCAAATAATCGATCGCAACTTGTTCAACAAATACCATAAACGGGAAAAACACACATAATATAAGTCATTATATAATTAGGAAGTATTGATGATCGTTTATTTGTTTCTCCTTTTTTGCGTTAGTTTTTAGTTAGGTATTATGATTTGGAATCATGGTCAACAGAATTTGATCATACTATAATAAATTATAAATGAATTATTGGGATAGTAATTTTCGTGTAGCTTAAGTCAAGTTTTGTTTATCAATTTTTAAATTCATTTGATTTTATCAGCTATTTTTTCTTGATTCGAAGGAAAATTGTTAAAAATCATTAGTCCTGAAAAACTTATGCAAGTATGCTGTTAAAAGAAATAGAAAGGACAATCGGAACCAAACAAAAAACCGTAGCATACTTTTTAGTGCCTTGAATCATCAGGGCTTTCTGAAAATCCCTCCTTTCCATTTTGTTGACCAGCACTTTGCCTAGTCTAGTTGTAAGTTCACTGAGTGACCCTTGAACCCAATACAAACGTTCGCTTTTCGTTGTGGGAGAGCAGCCAACGACCTGAGCAAGGAGTCCACAGTGTTATCGGTGCCGCCGGTCATCTACTATGGCGACGAAACTGTAAACCTGGGCTCCTCCTTCTCGATCACCTGCATTATTTCGATCGCCGAGCAGATCCACTGGCTCAAAAACGGGGAGCCGATAACACGGCACAATCTGCGGCACGGGCGCGATGATCATGCCTACGTTTTGGAGGAGAGTGCATTCGAGGGTGAGTATGGTGTGGCTGGGGCACTGAATCCTGAGCTGATTGAGATGATGATTGCAACTCCACCACTCATCCGGTCATCTGTTGCGTTCTGGTTCTGGTTCTGGTTTCCGCTAAAGGTGAGAAGCACACGATCGAGGCGCACCTGAAGGTGCGGCACGCCCTCAAGGTGCACGAGGGTCGCTACCAGTGCACCCATCGCTACAGCAGCTACCACATGCTGCACGTGCGCGATCCCAAGGGAGCGGCGGGAGGAGGAGGGGGAGCGGGAGCGGGCGAACCCACCGAGTCCGGCTACCAGACCATCGACGAGCTGACGTCCAATTCGGCGGGTGACTTCTTCACACGCAAGTGGCAGGAGCAGCAGCAGTTGCCCCACCAGTCGCACAAGCAGCACAAGTCGCATTTGGGCTATGGCAACGCCACTCTATCCGGATCCCAGCCCTGGCATCCATCGGCGGGAGGAGGTGGTGGTGGTGGTGGGATCCATCACATTTACTCGGCCACGCCGCCGGACTTTCCACCGCCGCGCCTCAATCTGCTCGAGCACACGGTGGCGCCACCGGAGCCACCCACTATACTGTACAATCAGACGAATCCCACTGCCAGCGCCACTGCCACGGAGGCCAGTCTGCTCCTAACGACGGCGCACCACCACGCCCACCACCAGCAGCAGTTGCAACAGCAGGCGCAGCATACGCTGAACGCCTTCCAGCTGCCAATGCCGCCGCGACCACATAATCCTGGCCAGAACGAGCGATACCAGACGTATGCGCCGCACTTTGTCCCTCCGGTGGTGGGAACTGTATCGGGACATGTCCAGGGATCGGGAACGGGATATGGATCTGGATACGGTTCTTCAGCATCATCTGGATCTGGATCGGGAGAGCAAACCACCATTGCAGCAGCCACCAGCACAAAGGCCATGATGGGTGGAGGCGGCGGTGGTTTTGCGGGTGCCAATGCCCCAATGTTGGGTGCTGGTGGCCACATGCTGATGGGTGGCCAGGTGCACCAGGTGCATCTGCAGCACCAGACGCTCTTGCCCGTCAAGATGGGTGAGCCACATACACACACACACCCACAGACACGAAAACACACACACGCAAAACACACACGAAACACCCACAAAACATGTTATTAAAGTTCTACTTGTAAAATGCCCACTTTGTTGTTGTTCGTTTTTGGCTTTTATCTCGCTCGCGCCGATTGAAACTGCCATTGTAATTGTTATCGTATCAAAAACTTTAGCCCTGCTCCCATTTTCAAAAGTTATAAAGATTTTTAAGATATGCAGTTTTTATAGATGTTTTGGTAAATAAGGTTATCTGAATACAAGGCTTAAATTTTTCAATCTCACACTTAATCTTCAATCTGTTACTTGTTGAGCATTTTAAACAAAATTCATAATATATTCATATAATAATTTAATCCTAATTTAATGCTAATTTTTAGAAACTGATTTATAGGTAATAACTCCCCATAAAGGCGTCTTAAAGTAGGCTACAAAATAATTGATCTAAACTATCTAGCGATTTAAAAACGCCAAAATCTTTTAATTTGTTGTTTTGAAAATGGGAACAAGGTCGAGTGTCATCGCTGCAATTGTTCGCCCACCCAACCCAAACCAACCCCACCCACTCGCTCTGTCTCTTTCGAACTGCATCTGATCTCAGCTCTGGCACCACACCCCTTCCCCCTCGCTCTCGCGCTCTCCTTCATCAGTACTTTTAGCTTGCTCTCGCAGTCTTTTTCCATTTGCATCAACCTCGCTAGTCTAATTTTGGTGTTGTTGGTTTTTAATTAAACGTTAATCGCTCGCCTAGCCAATTCGCCCTCTCGCTCGCAACCTTTCAGTGTGATTTTGGCTCGCTCTCGCTCTCGCCCATACACACACTGGCCACACACCCACACATACACATATGGTCACACCTTTAAGTTTAGCTTGAGTTGTTTGCTTAAACTTTTTCATCATTGCCGCTGCTCTTTCTTTGTCTTTGTGCTTTACATTCTCTTGATTTCATTTGTTGCCTTGTCCAGTTATCTCTGTCCTTTGTTTTTCTTTGGCTTTCTTTAACTTTCCTTGCCTCTTTCTTCTTCTATCCCCCTTTGTTTTCTGTTTTCCTTGGTTATTCCTAACTTACGCTTTAGTTGTTTACTCTGATTGTTGAACACACAACTGGCAGGTGCATCGATTTCGATTTCTATTTCAATTCCGATTCCGATTCGAATTTGATTGGCAGCCAGTTTTGCGATGACGCATAAGTTTACAATTGGCAGCGTTTTGGCTTACGAGCTGATTATAATCAATCAGACTGCCCGATAAGGCGGAAAAAACAACACGTGACGAGTCGCTGATTCTCTTTCTCTCGCTTTCTTGCTTGCGCTTCTTGTCTATCGAGCCAGTCGATAAACCGAGAATCGATCTAAATGTTGTATGTATCGCATTGTGTATATCGATTAACATTAATTTACCTACTTTTGCTCTATTTTACATTCCAGCTAACTTAACCGATAAATTAATCAACTATACATACCAAAAACTAATCAAACATAAACGTAAATAATCAAAGTAATCTCAAATTCATACGCAGCGTAAAATGAAGTTTATTTGATTTCAGTCCAAGTTTCGAAATAGTACGATAATGTGTTTTATACCAAATAGGATCAATAAAATTCGATTGACCAAATTGTATGCCCTTTTGTTTTTTTATACGTATTCTTTAGTTATAGTTTTAGTTTTACGAATATACTTATTATTATTATTTCGCTCCACCTTTTATTTGGTATTAGCGATTTGTGTGTTGCTAAATCATCATTACTCTCCTAAGCAATTTAGTCAGTATCCAAAACTGATACTCAAGCTCTCATTTCTCAGTCAAAAAACAAAAAAAAAAAAAAAAAATCTGAAACCAAAAATCTCTCCAAAAAAGCTCCACCAAACCCCTCATACTTTTAAGCTCGTTCTCAATTTATTCCTATAAGCAAATATATTTATATTTATATACAAGTTATTAGATTAAACTTTGTTTAAGCAGTTCTTTATGTAAACGTTTTCTCGTATCCCAATATTAGAACGCCATACCATGCTGACCAAGACTCGACTAATCTTTTGCATCTATCTATACAATCTTCAGATAAGCTGGTGCCAAACTATGATAATATCGAGCATCAAATGAAATTTTACGACATCAGACACCCGCTGGTTCTCAGCTGCAACGTGAAAGACACGCCGGGCGTGCTTATATGGTAAGTCATTCCGTAAACCCAATCCCCCATCCCCCCACCAACCACTCCTCTCAGAGGTCCCAAAATATCCGGGGGATGTTGCGAGGCAGGATGGGTCTGTGTTTCTGTCTGTGTCCCACATAGTTAGTAGTTATAAGAGCAATCATTTTAATACGGCCCAGCTAAGCACTTTTGCTTAATTATGTTGGCCTGACTGCCTAACTGACTGCCTGACTGACGTAATTTTCTAACCGGAGCAAGAACGAAGCGTGAAACACCTTGCTGCTAATATTAGGAAGAAATTTCTAAAGGTATTAAGATACATAAAGATAATTATATATTTTATGGATTTAAAAAAATTATTTTCGAGATATGTATTCTGAACTTTTATATACAACATGTTTTAAAAATTTGCACTGTTTTTAAAGTAATTTTGTCACGTGCTATTAATAAAATAAAAATATAAAATCTTAAAACCAAACTGAAAAATTCAAACATTACCTTAACTTATCAAAAATGCTTTGAAATGTAAATAGCCAAATAATAGTTCTCTTAAAGTCCTCTGATTTATTTCTTAAGCACTTCGAATAAACCACAAAAATTCTGTGGCTTAGGAACTTTGAAAAGTCCGCCCTAATGGATGCACAATGGTTTCTCCAGTTTCTCAGTTTTTTGTTGAGAAACTTGCGTCGAATCATTAGCATACCCTTTGCGAGGGTACAACAAGGTGCCATTTGTGCGAATGGGTACAGTTGAGTGGGGTCTGATGGGTGATGGGTGATGGCTGGGTGGCACTTCTGCTATGGGCGGCGGTTACTGAAAAGTGCCTTCCTGTCTGGGACACCGGTTAGTGTTGGTAGCCAGCCGGAGCTCCGAGCTCGGAGCCCTCAGCTCTGAGCTGTGAGCTGTGAGCTCTGGTGGCATGGTCTGGTAATGGTAATGACACTTTTGTTCATTCCGGGACCTGTCCGGCTCCCTGGTTCTCATACTCATACCCCAACCCATACCCATACCCATACTCATTCTCAGTTTCGTTCTTGTTTTCGTTCTTGTTCTTGTTCTGGGGCCAGGGCCAAACTTTGCGTGTGCCTCGCCGTGGAATTAGTCTTTGAATAATTGGCAAAAGGCATAGGGAACGGCGGAAGGCCAGAAAGTTCGCTTCTCGAGTAGGTGCAGCCCGGCTATTCGGCGATAACTGTAGAATTCATTTAGATAAATGGATTTTTCTACTAGATATATACGGTAGTAACTACAGAGACAACAATTTGGATATCAAATACTACTTTAATATGGGAAAATATATATAAAATACAAATGAATAGTGGTGTATATTTAAAGCTATCCAATTGTAGCCAATTTTTATTGTAATGATCATTTAATTATATATTAAACTGTTGTGTATGGCTTTAACATATAGGATAAATCTGATACTATCTGATGTGACTTTGCAACAAGAGCATTTTGATCATCTTTTTAAGCCTACTAGCTTGTCACAGATTAAAGGGCAGAGACCAACACTATTTATAACCATCTATTACCAAACTAATACCCTGTCTATTCCTATTCTAGGAAAAAGAACAACACCGATGTGACGCAGGTGCCTTCGCTGAAAGGTCGCTTTAAGCTAATCGAAGCCGAGAACAAGTTCATCATCGACAAGACGGACGCATCCGACGATGGTCTTTACAGTTGCTCGATCAACGAAGAGTCCCGGAATATCACAGTGATTGGTGAGTGCTCAATCGCAATATATAACTAATAAATAAATAACTAATAATGCTTTCCACGGCAGCCCGCGTTATTGTAAGAGTGCCTTCAAATACAGCCGTTGTGGAGGGTGAGAAGATGTCGGTGACCTGCAGCGTTGTTGGTACCGATCCCCAGTTGTCATGGACCTTTGGTGAGTCCATCTTTAAATGATCTCCCATTACTGGACTCGATTTAATTCTGCTTTATTTGGTTTGCAGGCAATGTAACGCTGACAAACTCCACAGATCGTTACATCCTCAAGGCGGACGAGGACAATGTCCCCAACGCCATTCTGACATTGGACAATGTGACATTGGACGACAGAGGCGACTACAAATGCATTGGACGCAATGCGGCCAATGACTACGGTGTGAATGGCACCAACACCGCCCCTGCCATCGACGTCACAACTGTGCGTGTTAAGGGTAAGTTTCCTCCGGATGGGAGTGCCCACTAAGCGAACTCCGGCTAATGTCCACCGAAAAACCCAGGTCGCTATATTCCTCTGTTCCTCGTCCAGATCTGTTGCCCATTAACCTTCAGGCTAATGTTTGCCTTTGCATATAAAATGTAACGAAATATAGTCCGGTCTGTTGGCTATCTTTATGGTGGCGCATGTTAGTTCATCAGATTTTTTCTTCTTTATGGTACATTTTTGTTAAAAAAAAAAAAAAAGGAATTATGAAAATTATTTTTTTGTTATTACATAATGGGTTTGGAGTGCTCAAAGTGCATTAAAAAGTATCTTATCATAATTAATAGTTGTTAATCGTGGATTTCGAAATTCTAAGAAGTGGATATTGTTTTTTACATGCTAAAAAAATAGGATGAAATCTTGTTATATTGGGCATTAATATTTAATTAATTTAAAAGCATATTACTAAGTTCAAAGGAGTAACTAGCAGATTTAACAACCTTTCGTGTTCAAGGGTAGTTGAGAATATGTTACCTTTTCCCAGGAAAAGTAAGTTTTTCTTTCGCCTTTTAAACGGAACTTAAAACACTAAGCAAACATGATTATAAATGAGTAACCTGAATCCAACTTTTTGGCAATGTAAGCAAAGTAAAACTATAATGTATGCGACCTTGGTTAATCGGTAATTAAAACTGAGTAGTTGTTTAATAATCCCTTGTGCTTTGCAGGCAAATTTGCCGCCTTGTGGCCTTTCCTGGGCATCTGTGCTGAGGTGCTGATTCTGTGCATCATCATTCTCATCTACGAGAAGCGACGCAACAAGAGCGAACTGGAGGAGAGTGATACTGATCCCCAAGAACAGTAAGTGTGCCAACTCTCCAACCCACACACCAACCAATCAACCAACAAACCAACCAACAACCTACCAACCAATCAACACCACAAAAAAACAAAAACAAAAACCAACAACATAAACTGTCAACACCAAATATTATTAAACATCCGCAAACCAACCAACAAACAAAACAAAACAAACAAACAAAAACAACATACGAAACGCAGCAGAAGAGGAAAAAAAAAGTTGAAATTTTAGTTTTATACTGCAAATTAAAGACGTTGAAGCTGCAGGCGAAATGCGAATGCAGACCAGACACCAAACAACACATAACCATACGGAACCGGATACAGATACTACGGATACGGAGAAGCAACGTACTTACGGACGGACAGACAAACGGACGGAGGAGCAGCAGCTACAACAATTAGTGAAATTTTCTTAGTTAACAATTTCTAATAGTTACCACAATGGGAAAAACAAAACGGAAAATGAATGAATTTTTGTGTTTGACGCAAACGGATACGCGATTAAATGAAAAGTTAAAGGTTAAGAAATTATATAGTTTTTTGCAAATTTTGTATTATAAAAAAAAAAAAAACAACCTATTCTATTGTGCCTGGAGCGTCGCAAAGAAATTAATAAAATAAAATAATAAACTTAACGAGACCCAGAGAAGTGAAAAAGATAATCCCTTAGGTTTCTACTCAATTCGATGTGTGCTAAACGAAAGCAAATCTATTCCTGATCCGAATATTTGTTTCGCCTGACAAACACAAAACGGAAACGGAAACACAAAACGAACGCACACAGCCACAACTCACTCACACACCAACACAATCGAGAGTTAAACAAAATATGTAGTTCTCTAGATATAAATATTATAAATTTAATTCATCGTAAATATGCCTTATATATTTTTTGCTTCATTCAAAACGAAAATTCATTTTTTCGCTGTGCTTGTTTCTGTTGCTTAAAAAACAAAAAACTACAAACAAAACTTAAAGAAAAACAACTACACATAAACGAAACTTTTCTTTTTATGTCAAAGTCCAGTCCATAATATTATTATAATTATTATCATGTAAAGGAATACGACAAGAAAACGTTATCAACTTTGTTTTTAAGTACTTATTGTTTAATTATATACATTTAAAATAAAAACCACATTTAAAAAAACAAAAACATAAAAAAAACACCGTAAGCGAAGCAAACGTTTTCATTTGCTTTGGAGGAATACAAAAACAGAATTAATCGTTACTTATGTATATTATAAATCACTATTAAGCTTATTAATTTCTTGGCAGTGAATAAAACATACACGCGAAGCACACAGAAATCGTAGCTCAACACTTTTGCATTGATTTGGAATTATAATTAGAATTATTTGTATATTGTACACAAAAGAGTATTTTCCCCGCCCCCCGCAGCCCCGCCCCTCTAGTTTGCGCACTTTATGTTTTTTGTCGCCTCTGTTGATTTTTGCTGTGTATAAACTTGAAAACTTGAATGATTTCGATTCGATTCTTTGTATCTAGTATCTAAACACTTGTGCTATTCTTTACCGATTACAACTATCCATTATGATTTTGTGCGTTTTGAGATTGATTTCTACCGAAATATAAAACAAACAACAACAACAAAAAATACAATTGTAAATTAAACAAATAAATAAAAAAGAAAAATATTTAAAAAAATAAACAAAAAAAGAACAAAACCAACCGATTTGCATTTTTATTGTTTTCTCTGTCTTTTATGTACTTTCGTCCTGTGAACACTTTTATTGTTTCCTTAGATCCTGTTTTCTGCTTGCCTGCGCCTGCCTGAAATCGGGGATATATATTTTATATCCCCAATTGAAAGTTCGTTTTAATTCATTTCGTTTTCGTTGCCGATTGAATTTTCATTTGCTGTGCTAGACGATTTCTGGTATCTTTGAGTGATTTGTCGTCGCCGATAATCATGGAAAGCTAATCAAATGTATCTTCCATTCTTTTCTTATTTTCCCATAACTATCCATATGAATTGTCGAATAAATCAACATTTCCTTTGAGTAGTTGATCAAGTTCGCTCTCTAGTTAAAACTAAAATTGAATGAGAAATCCTTAAACAAAAAAAAAAACAGAAAATGTGTGGGAGAACCTGCCGCTTGATTCGGTCGATTGATTGGCTGACTGTTTTCTGCAATCATCATCAAAAATAAAACCAAAAAATACCACCACCAAAAACGAAAACTAACCCAAAAAAACCTCGCCCTCGATCAATTCTCCATGAACCCGCCTGCCTTGACTAACCAAAATCTGATCCAAAATGTGCCCAGCGTCAACTAACATCTACAACTACAACAACTCCAAAAAAAAAAAAACAACTACAATCACTGCAATAATTTACCAAAAATAGTTACGATAACTACTAACAATCTGAACAGCAATAGCAACATCTACGGCATCTGCAACAGCAACAGCAACCAAAAGTAGCCTAATTTATCTACTAACAAACCATTTTGTATTATTTATTTGTTTTTTTTGTATTGAAGCATAGCCATAGTTAATTAATTGTCGCTCTCCCTATCAATTATTGTCTATCTCTGGCCTGATTTATTTTCGAATTCTTCGATAGAACAACCCCCATCCAATCTCCAATCACAACAAACATGAGCAACCATAACCCAAGACCACCAAAAACTAATTCAAGTGATTTTTGCAATTTACTCTTTATTGCAGGAAAAAGAAAAGGAGAAATTATGATTAAAATTCCTAACAAAAAGAAAGAACACACCGTATAAAGAATAATAGATAAAATCATTAAAATATGAGCAAAAACAAGTAACAGAAAGTAAAATGCATTAAAACATTACATAAACTACATAAAACTAGCAAAATCGAGAAAGGTAATGAAGCCGATAAAGTCACAAGAGAAAAGTTGTGTATCCACACCCCTCTCCCATTTTCCATCCCCCCTCTCCCCCTCCCCCTACCACCCAGCAAAACTGAGAACTTTGTTTAGCGAAATTGTATTTTATTAAAGAAAACAAAAAACGTAAAAGAAAAGCAAAAAATTAATATTAAACAAGAGGAAACCGAAGTAAATCTAAAATAACATTAAAATGGAAAGTGATAGCAGTTAAACGAACACTAATAAGAGAATATGGATTAACGATGGCAGAATAAAGGAACTTTAGCAATTAACCATAAAGTGAAGCGTTAACTCGAAAGCAAAATGAAAAATGTCGCACATGCCACTCCCTCTCCCACGCACCCTCCACCTGAACAACAACAACAACAAACAAAATAATATTGTACATAACCTAAAAAGTTGAGGATAATTCTGAAGAAGGGCTTTCTTCTGTCTCTGCCTGATCCACTGCACGAGTAGGGCAGCCAAGGCTCTGTCTCTCTCACTCCTATCGAAGAGGACTCTTTATACAACTATGATTTCTTAGGTAGCGATATTTTGAGGTTAGTTTTTAGTTCGAGTCGGATATCTATGAAAAAAAGAAAGCAGAAGAAGAAGCGATGCGGCAACAACAGCAACCACAATTGTGAGGAAGAGAAAGATGGAGAAGGAGAAGGAGTACATGATCGAAAACGATGACACGGGAAAGCGATTGCAAAACGATGTTGAAAGAACTTGGTTAATTAAACTTAGTTAATATACGGTGTATTGAAAAACTGAAGATGAACTTTTTAAACGATTAAGTAGCGCGTTATGAGTATATTTTTAAAGGATTAATACCACAACTAGTAGCTGATGGCGAGGGACGAAGCGTTGGAAGCGAGGACATTGTATATTGCATAATTTTAGGAGGAAAGGATGGAAGTAAATCAGATGCGTACTGCCAAAACTTGTAAAGTTCAGTACTATTTGCTTAGCCTCATTTTTGGTAAACAAAACTAAAAAACCAAAATCAAAACACACTAAGAACTTAACAAAAAAAAAAAAAATAAATGAAATCATAAGCTCTGTTAATTCATTTCTGTTGTTGTTAATTTCGGTTGTTTATGTATAATGTATGTGTATAAAAATCGAAGTGCGAAAGAACTAAGAACTAAAGCGGTCTTCAATTCACATCTTAACTCGTAATCATAAAGAAATCGTATATAGATATATATATGTATAAATTTGTATGACTTTAATTTCGGTTGATGTTTTCATTTACGTGGACTTTTCGTTGTTGATTTTTTCGCCGCCACCAAAGCTTTAAATATTTACATAGTAAACTGTGTTCTCAGCAAAACGATGAAGTTATTAAAATAAAATTATGTTAAATAAAAACAAGACGAGACGATTTGTATAGTAAACTAAATGAGCATAATAAACAGAACCCTTGATAAAAACCAACAAAGAAACGTTCTTGTTATATATATAAATAAAAAATATATATAAATATATATATATATATATATATATATAATTGCTATATATATAGATCACGTGTGTGTGTGTGCATGTTCGATTACATAGTTATATACATATGCGAAGAAATACAAAAATAGAGGAAGAAGGAAGAGGTAAATAATAGCCTAGAGAGGAGACTTTTTGGAAACCGTCGATAAATTCTCGTGCATAAGTTTTTTATTCATGTACAATTGTTGTACAGTTTTTGTGGCTTATTTGTGTATAACAACTATTAATGACAACAACTACTACTTATATTACAATTGATCTATTATGCATAACTGTACATTATACTATCCCATTTCATTGTGTCTTTAAATGCGTTAAACATATGTGTATTTTATTTTCTGGGCTTGGTTCCAACCAACCGAATCCCCATCGAACTTTCTCTCTTTCGACCAAAACCCCCTAGAAAAAAGACATCCTTGAACCTCTTTGAACTGAAATAAGTAAACCCAACAAGAAGAAAACGAAAAAGAAGAACAACAACAGCTACGATACCTATTTACTGCTATATTGTATGACGTAATGTTACCCACAACATGAACAACTAAACCATACACACGTAACTAACTTTAAAGCAAAACCAAACCAAAACCAAATCCAAAACCAAACCAAAAAAATCAACTTCGGAACACTCGTCAACTATGCTATATATACAAACATACTAACGAAAAGGATGCAACAAACGGAAACTATACATACTTATATAATATACACTTATATACAAACAACCACATACGCAGTATTGTATGTCTTTTTGTACAGAAAACAAACGACAAACTAAGCCTGACAAACAAACAAATTGTGTATCCTAACTACAAATCCTCAGATAGAACATATGACTCCTTCGCAGCACTCCCATTTCTATTTTCACGACTCTCACTCTCCTTCATTATTATTAATCATCGATCATCGATCATTGATCACCGATCACCGATCACCGATCCATGTTTACCCATCAAATTGTTGCTAACTATCGAAGAATATAATCAACAAATGCAGAATTTCTTGGCACACACTTTTGACTCTCACGCGTTAGTCGCTTCATGAGTAGAGCAGCTAAATGTGAACATCAGACGAAGCTCTAGTTAAGTTACAAGAAGAAACCTTATATATATTATATATATAACATATACATAAATAATATTAATAATTACACGTACTTTTAATTAGACGCATAAGCCAAATGTTGCGGGGAAAATCACAAGCCGAAACGAAAGCTAAGACTAAAACTTAGGCCAGAAAGCGGTTCACATCGGTTTTCCCAAAAAAAAAAAAAAAACAAAAATAAAATAGGGCAACCAAATTAGTTAAAGCTAAAATTGACAAGTTAGGTTCAAAATTCAGGAAGGTCCTTGGTTTTTTTCTTTAATTTTTTTTTATTACGGGGTCAATATACGAGCTTTGAAGCTTTGCGAATTAAATCACAACTGTCTCTCTTCGACTTCCCATACAGTGCGTTTCGGGGCTGTAAAACTCAAGTTGGTCAAAAGAAATGCCACCAAAGATAAAGACTTCATGGAACAAATTGTTTCCAGTCACTTGTTAACAACATTTAAACAAATTTGCAGAACCAAGACACATTGTGTGCGAAATCAGAGCCAAATTTATGTTTATTCAAAACAATTCTTTTTGGCGGATTCACTGGCAAGTCACACATTTTGTATGAATTCCAGCTCTAAGAAGCTAACTTCCGATAAAGAAGGAAATGAGAATATGGAGGAGGAGCCTTTAGCCGGCCAGGCTGAGAATCCTGCGAACCGAACCCGTAAAAAACCGAACTTTGTTTTCCGCAGGCGCCCAGAGTAGTGTAAAAAAATTAACGTGGAGAAATCTGTAGGAGACACTGTAGGAAAACAAATAATTGCCTTAGGGTTTCAGTAGAAATAAAACCAAACATTAAGAAATAATTTATCTTTTAAATCATTTCCCTTATCGGCGTCTTTGAGCAAAACGTGTGACTTGGCCTTAAAATGGGGTGTGACATCAGCACTCTGTAAACCAGTTAGAACTACGGGTAAACACGGTTCGCCGTAAAAACCAGAAGCCGAAAGCAGTAAAATATTCCGTAATCCAAGCTAGTAACCGAATGTCACACAAAACACACACACACACACACACACACACATGGGCCGGCGAAAGCAAATGGAATCCTTCCGGGATGAGAGCTAGATATACAGGACACACATAGGATAGCTAACCGCATAAGCCTTTTTGGGGAGTCTGAGATGAAATCAATTAAGTGCCAGCCCCCGAATCTCCCCTCCTCAAACTTCGTCGCATGATAACCGAATAGAACTCGGATAACGGGAGATACCAGATCCCCACGGAAGGATTCCAATTGGTTCCGATGGACCCGTGCGAAATGTCTTCAACTAGAGCGAACACAAAACTGTTTCAGAATACTAATCGATAAAACTATGATTTTTAGCAATTTATATAAATTACATATATACATACATATACATAGATAATGAATTACGGAAACCGAAGCTAAAACTAGACCTAAACCTAAATCTAGACCGAAGAGAAATCACAAACAAGTCAACAGGGCACAGCGCTTCTTAACTATATTTATTTCGACAAGCAGAACTTTTTCTAAACCTAAACCAAACCAAGAAAATGTAAAACCAACGCTAATCTTAAAACTATAACTAACTTTTTAAACTAATATTGAAATTGAACCCAACAAAGTGTTCATTAAACTAAAACCAAAGGATTACATATATGTACGAGCATGTATACATATGTACTTAACGTTATACATTAAAGAAACACAACATTTTGTATGGCTATGGCAAAAACAAATCCAAGAAAAAACCCAAAAAGCAAAAAAAAAAAAAATAAAACAAAAACAGAAAAAGAAAACAAAAGCAGAAGATGGTGAAAAAGAACCCAACAATTTAGCTAAGTAATTTAATGTAAAGAGTTTATCGAATAAATTGAGAAACAAACCAAAAAGAAAACTTTAATGAAACTTTCATCAGATTTCTAACGAACTTTACGAATTTCCAATAAGAAGAAGAAAACTGCGCTCTTTACGCCTATCTACCGAACATCTCTTTACATAGACATTATATGATATAAATATAATTATAATGGAGGAGCAGGTTGAGGGTAACCGAAACCGAGGCCGAACTTACTTACATAAGCATACACTTGTTTTTAGCACTAAATGAAATCTCTTGCGTTACTTTTGTTTAACAAATACTAATTAAACCAAAAATAAATTAATATACATACAAAACATACTATAAACATACATACTATATATACATACATTACATATATATATAAATAGAGTTTTTTAGATCGAAACCCCGATGAAGAAAACCCAAATCCGAATCCAAAACCCCGAAAAAAACCGGAATCTAAACACGCAAGTCTCGTCTCATCTCACGGATGTGCTACACTAAATTAGTAACTAAACTAAACTAAAACTAAACTATTGTTAAACCGTAAAAACACACGCATACATACACACACACACATAAAACATTAACTAAATATTACAAGAAGAACAAGAGCCCCGTTAAAAGTTAAGCGAAATCAAAGTGAAGAAGAATTTGCAGCCGATGGCAGTTAGAACTTGAAGAAAATCCCCGAAAAGGCAGTTAGTAAATGAAATGAAATGCGAGCCGAGCAGCTGAGAAATGCAATCCACGCGAGACCGTTAGTGCAGTATAATAAACAACAAATTGTATTATATCTAAGCCCATGAAATTAAAACCAAAAGTTAAACATAATGAGAACACGACAAAAATGTTAATTACAAGCGCTAAACAAGTAAATAGCTAAACCAAACCAAACAGAAGAAGAAACCAAGAGGCGGCGGCTATTTATTAAAAGTGATTTATAGGGCAGAGTTGAAAACCAACTTTCAGCTAATATAGATTAATAACAAATAAAGACCGAAAAACCACAAAAAACGAAAAAAAAAATATTTTAAAGCAAGCGCTTAAATTGTACATTTTTACAAGGCAACTGTACATTAAGCGCCCACGGCATTAAGTAAAAAATAAAAAACCGAAAAAAACCAAAAGAGTTGACAAGCACATAAAACAAAACAAAAAATAAATAAAATCCAAAAAAAATATACGAGACAGCAACGGAGTGTGCGGCTGCCCGACACACAAGAAGTTGCCTAGCCAGAACGGAAATGAGTTTATTAAATATATACATTTAAAAATTCATAAACAAAAAATCATGAGAAAGGAAACCCAAAATTCGTTGCATAATATTTAAAACGAAGGTAGTATTAAACTCGATTGCCTAATTCTAATATTAAAACCAAAAGAAAACAAAAAACTATAAAAACATTAACATTAACAGTAATAATAATGAAAACAAGAACAACAAAAATGTTATTATACTTATTATACCGATTAAAATGAAAACAAAAACAGAAAAGCGACAAAAAAATGAAACAAAACAAATTAAAATAAAAATTTTATTTAGATTAAAATGTTGCACTTTCGCTGATCTACGCACACAAAAGGGTACAAAAAGGTAGGTTTTCTAAAAAAACATATAAAAAATTAACTCCTTAGATTGGTTATGCATTTATTTTACTTTTATTTTTCATTATCCATTTCTGGTTTTTGAAATAAGGCATCCAAAAATACTTTACACAATACTTTTGATTTCTTCCGATTTTATTAAATCAGTATTTTCATAGTGAAAGAAAATTAGTAAACAATTCCAAATAAGTTTTGTAATTTCATTTAACTCTGAAGTTGAATTCGATATTAACTGTTTTAATATCAAGAAAATATGCTTTCCTGCTTTATTTGCAATACAATCACCATTCTCTTTTATTGGAGCATAAAAACAATTTATTTAACCTTATCAATCAAATGGACTATTTGTGGTCGCATACAGTTTTTGGTTACCACATATCACAAACATCAAAACCGTTGCCAAGTAGAAACAATTCCATGTCAGAGGCAGTTCAAGGTGGTTGGCTTTAACCGCTCACTGCGGATGCGATAAGGATGGGCCAACAGAAGATGTGTGTGCTCAGGTACTCGGCGGAGTAAACCTGTTGTCGTCGAGCCATCCGTCCATCCAACTGGAGAGGGTTTTGATGGCGGCAATCTGACGTCATAAATAAACCACGCTTATCAGTTGGTAATAATAATTTTTGCTTTATTTAAAAACGTCACTACAAAGTTGGTTGGTTGCATCATGGTTAATGGTTAATATTTGATTCAGATAACACGCACGTCTGTACTTTAAAATGCGCTACACAAATAGATCGTAGTTAGATTTGTATAAGTATAGCCTACAGCTAATGTAGTTCTTTGTCTTTGCGTCTCGAAAAGGTACTAAAGGAATCTGCTGTCTGCTTCTCTTTCCTCTGCGGTCCAAGCGGTTTGTGGGGTTTCATCTTCGTTAATTGGCCTCATTCCGGCAACGCCGTCTAGACCTATTACATACTTCATAGCTCAACTACAAAATACTTTTACAAATATATATATATATATGTTTAGGTATGTATGTAAGTACATAGATGCTTAGTCGTTACATCTATGCGAGGGAGGGCTAAGATTAACATTCATAAATTATGCACAAAATAAATATATTCAAACGGTTCGCACTTAAACAACTAAGAAAAAACATCGCACAGCATCGACCGCCGGTCTGGATTTCGACTTGGTCTCTCTGTGTGTCTAGGCATACTTTCACTCTTGTCCATTCGATTGTATTGCATTGTCGTTTGTCACGCTCGCCGCACAGGTGCGTGGCGCCTGCAGCAGGTCCGTGTACTGGAGCAATGCTTCGCGCAGCGATCGCGAGACCTCCGGCGACGTGGTCGTGGTGCAGTCCACCAGGTATGGATACAGGCCAATCAACTGATCCCAAGCGGGCTTGTTCACTGCGGGGTCAATAACATTTACTGATAAGCGATATACTATTTATTTATGTGATATTTACCCTTTGAGGCTGGCGCCTTCTTCATGGACACCACAAGCGTTGCAATGGCTTTGAGCACGAACGATATCTCAGACAGTCGGAATCTGAAAAGCAATGTTATTTATTTTTTTAAGTTACAACATGCTAGCAACTTTTTTAAAGGCAAATGAACTTAATATTGTCGACTAGGTTACACAACTTTTAAAAATTGAATACTAAAACAAAAGAAACCTTACACTTCAAAACGATCTAAAAATAATTTAATTAAAATCAAATCGACTCTCAAGTTAAATTAGGAAGTATTAAAACAAATTGATTAAACTATTTAAATAAATTCCCTGATGAAGTAATAACTAGTTATGAACTACTTTTTAAAAGTATTCATTGAAACATTGGCTCATTAATTGCTTAAATTGGAGTAACAAGTTAAGTTTACCCTAATTAATAGAAGTGTAAATACATTACCTGGGCAGCGGACACTTGCCGCTTTGCCGCTCATCATCGTTGAACCGCTTGAGCACTTCCTGGAAGCGATGCAGCAGGGCGGTGACCGCCAGTCGGCCGGCAAAGTCTTTGCCACCCGCCCCCGCGGCTCCAGCTGCCAGGAGATTGGCGTTGAGGCGATTGTTGTTGGTGTTGGCGTGATCCTCCAGCAGCGAGAACTGCAGCAGGGTCTCGAAGCAGGTTTTGGCAAATATCTCGCGCAGCTTCCAGTCGGACTCGTAGCAAATGTTCGTGTCCGAGGCGGAGTGAATGGAGCCCTTGTTCAGCAGCACCACGATCTGCATGATGAACTGGTGCGGCATTTCGTGGGCATGCGGCAACACCTCGTCCCTAAGCAGCTCAATCACTTGGCAGTCGATCGTTTCGTCCAGCACGATCTCCTCCAGGCCGCGATCCTCGATGGTGCAGACACTCGCCGGGAACAAGAACTTGTCCAGGGTGTCGGCCAAGTCGTCCCACAGGCTGGCAAAATGCTGCGGCTTGGCGCGCGCCACTTTTAGGCCAGTGTGCAGCACGCTGATCAGACTGGAGATGGCCAGCTTCCAAGTGCTGGACGATAGGCACTTGTACTTCATTGCCAGCGGCGTGCGCAGAGCCTTGACGATGTCGTGCAGGATCTGCTCCTGCACCACCGGATCCTCGGTGGCCGTGGTCTGGTAGAGCTTCACGCAAATACTGATTGACTTCTCCCCGAACGGTATGTAGTTCATGCTGACCACCTCGACGGAGGCGTTGTTGGCATAGTGGCCCGAGGACTTGGCATACTTGTGCTCCACACTCTGCTGGAATGTGGGCGGGGCGCAGGCGAACTTGCTGAAGATCAGCAGCTGCCGGAAAATGGCGGGAATGAGCTGGCTGATGTGCGATTCGCTCTTTGTGGCCTCCTATTAAAAAAACAAATAATAATACTGAGGTGCTTATGAATTTCGGGTTTTCTTGCCTTCTGGATTAGCTCCATGCAATCGAGGATGCCATCGTGCAGCGGTGTAAGCAGAGTGTCGGACACGGTGGACATGATGTAGGGAACCGCATCGGTCTGGACGGGAATGCATACAGCATTCGTTAGCACAGTGCAGAACTTATCAAAGTCAGCTGCACTAAATCTGGAAAATATTTAACATTAGTTCTAATTCACAATTGGTCCCTAATAGGTTTTGTTAAGTACTTAAACTTGGATCGGGTAAAGCAAAGGCTAACCCTAAATTAGAATCAACATACTTGACTTGAATGTGCTGAAAGATGGCGGGGAAGATTTGGATCAGGGCGGTGAGGAAAGCCTGACTGGGAATGTAAAAGTCATCCTGACTGTCGGCGCCATTGCTGTTTTGCTGCTGCAGCTTCGTTGTGGACATCTTGGTGCTCTCCATGCCAATGCTCAGCCAAATGTTCCAGGCAATCTGCTCAAGAAAAGCATTGAGTCATTAATATAATGTGCAATAAAATAAAATATAATCAAAGACAAGCTTAGTAAAAAAGTTAAGAGCTAGAATTAGCAAACGAATGTAAAGTCCTCTTAATAGTTTTAAAATTTATATAAAAAGTATCAGCAATCGAAGCCTAACAGCTCGTTTTCTACTCTACTCACGGTCCAGATTTCGTCATCCTGCTCTTGAGCCGACTGGGGATCCTTTAGGGCTCTCTCCGCTCGCTCCGTGGTATTGTGGTACATAATCTCCTGCAGAGACTTAAGGGCGGCCAGCGACACCTCGCCGTTCTTGCTCAGAGCAGCATTCTGAATGAACTCGAGGATCAGGGACCAAGCCCGCTCAAAGTCACCGAGCATCTGGAGCAGCTCCCGCTTTGTGTTGAACACCCGGCAGACGCCCGACAAGGTGAGCACCTGCGTCTCGGCCCACTGCTTTTGGGCGGTGTTGCGCGAGTGATGGATGAGAATGTTGCCACTGGCGTCCACCTTCTCGTTGCTGGCCGAGCTGCTCAGGGCGCGCACGTTGTCCAGCAGCGGGAAGAGAACCTGCCAGACCAGTGCCTGCCACGTTGGCGGATTGAGCAGGCTGCCGTGGGCGGAGATGGTGGAGAAGAGCGTCTGGCCGGCCGATTTACGCACCGCCGGACGCAGATCCACACACAGCTCGCCCAGCTTGGCGTACAAGCACATCCACAACTTATCAAACTGCGGCATCTTCACTGTGCCCGGAAAATCGGGCAGAATGGCCACATCCTGCAGCTGAGTGGACATCAGCTTGTCCTGGTTTTGATTAAAGAAATCTGAAATATTCCACTGCAAGGAAAGTTAAAAGTTTTAGTCAAGTAATAAATTAGGTTCCCCCGATTGAAGCAATGAAAAATATCTTACCATTAGACCAATGGCGGTCAGGGAAATGTTCAGTTCCTGGGTTTGGGAGCCGAATTTAGCCGCCGTGCTGATGCACAGGGGCAGGCATCGCCAGGGCATCACGGTCAGGAAATCGGTAATAACCAATTGGAGGCATTGGAATGCTGTGCGAATCAACGGCTCGCCGTGGTGCTCGTTTACGGCACCAATGATCTCGATGATGGCAGGCCAGCCAAACGAGAGAATCTCCCCGGCCGTGTTCAGGATCTGGAGGACACAATCCAGCTGCCGCTGTCGAACATCTGCGTGCAGGACTGTGGACAACTCGGAAAGCGGACTCAGCAGCATAGTTTGTAGTTCCTAAGGGACAGAAAACGATGTTTTATTTATAAAAGGATTTAGAAATTGAAGAATATAGAGTATTCAATTTAATTACTCATTTCATTAAATTATTAAAGGATGTATCTTACCATATTCTCTTTGAGTGGCGTTTTGTGCTTGAACTGAAGTGCGGACTTCACCAGGTAGGTGATGGCCTCGACGCCCCACTCCCGCATGCGAATGTGCCGGTGCTGGCACACCTCCAACAGGTGATTAGTGAGCGGTCGCCACAACACCTTGATGCGTGGCATGTTCACCAATCCCGTCTCCAGAAGTTTGGCCACTGCAAAGAGGGATGGCTCTCGATTGGCGTAGGCCAGCTCCATGGCCTCGTGGGAGAGCTTACACAGCGCATCGATCAAATGATGCAGCGCCACATCATCCAGATACTGACTGGACTCGAAAAGCTGGCTAAGCATTTGCGACAGAACCGGAAGATCGGCCATCACGGCCGTTTGAATGCCCACATTGGCCTCCACCGCCGGCTTTGGCATCGCCTGAAGACTGCCTCCCGTCGAGGGTTTCAGGCCCAGGATCCACACTAAATGCTGCAGCGTTTGGAGAACAATGTGCCACGAGGTGCCCAGTATTCCGCCGTTGTTATGCGCCAGAAAGAGAATCGCTCGCATGCACTGCAGATTCTTGTTGGTCAGCATCACCGGTGCTTGCATCACGCTGTGGGGCAGCGAGGCGGAGGGAAGGGGTGTGCCCACGGCCACAATCTGGGGTCGGAAGTCCCCTGAATCGCCACTGCAGTTGTTGATGAACTGGCTGCTCAGATCCTGGCTGCCACTGCGGGTGTGACCTGAAAAAGTAAATATTGTTTGTTAATTATGTCACATTACTTTAAAAATTATCACATCTCACATCTTAATTCACCATCCGCCTGCGTGGTGTTGGCAAAAATGGACATGGCATAGTGGGGCGGAAACGAGGCACGACACATGGCCATGATGAAGGCGTCTCGCGGCTGCAGCTGCTCCAGCATTCCGCACAGAGCAGCATAGTTTTGCATAGCCTTGAGGATGTTCTCCGTGGTGGCTTCGTCAATGGACGTCTCCACCAGTGGAATAAAAGCGCTGAGGAGGCCAGACCAGCTGGAGTTCACCAACTGCAGGCACAGAGGCTTGTGCTCCTCCTCCGTGATCACCGCCGTGTTGTGACTCGGATGAAGCTCTGGAGTGCGCTGAATTACGCCTCCAATGGAGCGGGTCATGTCCAGGAGAATGGCATGACCCACCGAGATGCCATAGCTGTCGGGTATGTTCGGCGCATCCAGTTTATCCAGCATTTCCAAGCTGCAGGCAAAACAATAATGAAATTAGAATTGGTTTGAAGGGGGTAAATAGTTTTTTACTTACTAAACCGCCTTGGAAACACCTGGAGCATAGGTGGCCACCAGCGGCAGATACGCTCCGCGGAACATAAAGCCACACTGGTTGTTTCCCGACAGGGCTGTCAACGAACTCGCCATTCCGTTCTGCTGACCATTAAGCATGGCCGAGGCATTGATCAGGGAGTATCGGACATAGCTACCCATGGCAGCAATCATGTCGTGCACAATGTTTGTGGCATGGTTCTTCAAATCGTACGACTTGCAGAAGAAGGCAATAAGCGAGGAGCGCGTGACCAGCTTGTGGATAACCTCCAGGGCCAGGGCTCGCTGCCAAGCCGGCTTGTCCGGATCCAAGAACTTGATGATCAGCGATAGAAAGATCTCGCACTCGGTGACCAGTATGGTGTGGTATTTCTGTATAAGTATCGCCACCAGGCGCAGCAATCGCATGCTGATGGGGAAATATGGCTTCTCGGCCGGCACAGGTGCATTGCCATTGCTCGGAGCGGGCAGCTGACGGTGCTTCACGTTCGGCGAGAAGAGCTTTATGACCAAGGCACAGACCCGCTCCTTAAGCAGCAATCGAAAGTCGTTGCTCTGTAAGGAAATACAATTATTCTATTAATACGTTAAAAATTTGTATGCTTTTTTGTTAGGAATTAAGATTAAACATCTTTGAAGTAATAATAATATAAAAACAAATATAATAAAAAAATATGAAATAAAATATAAAACAAAATAAAAATAATAATATAAAATATCATAATATAAAATTATATTTAAGTTAGAGATAGGGGGATTTTACTGCCACACAATTAGGTGTAATAAAACCTAAACACTTTTTAGTTTCTCATTAGAAACATCCGAGATCAAAATATCATATTATTATAAAGATTGTGTTTTTAATAATTTAGACAAACGAGCAAAAAAGTTGTAAAATGTTTCTACGAAATAATTTCTTGACACCTGTCTACTTATATGCCCTTATCGTAATTACTCAGAAAGAGCCAAGAATCGAAAGTAAATAAACATGATAATGTATACAGTGCTTAATATAAATATTTACCTCGTGGAACACAGCGCTAAAGTTGGTTAGCACCGCCTCGAGCAGTTCCAGACCAAAGGTGCGCGTCATCTCCGTCATGCCCACTAGCCAATAAGGCTGCTCCGCGTTCACCAGTTGCACGAGATCCTGAAACAGCAGAAAGGCGTCCGATGCAAAGGTCTGAACATCCTGACCGCCGCCCTCTGTCTCTGCCGGCGAACCAGTGGACTGTTGCTGCTGCTGCTGTTGCTGAAGACTCGACACCGAATCCTTTTCCAGGTAGACGCGCTCAAACACCAGTGACACCAGTTGCCGGATAGTTGCTCCTGCTGTATTGACAATCGTGGGATTCTTGGTGTAGTGCAGGCGGAAACAGAGAACCAGGGCCTTGGCCAAAGTGTCGCCATGCACCACCGTGTTGGTGGTCAGAAGAAGGGTCACCGTCTGCAGCACCTTCACCTCCTCGATATTGTTCTCCATAAGGGTCCACAGTGCATTGGTGATGTAGAGTGCGCCCTTTTGGTCTACCACCTGCTGGGTGATGAGACGCTGCATCATGCCCAAGCAGAACTGGAGGATGAAAAGGGAATTAACAAAAGCTTCCATATGGCAAAATGCTGACTCACCTTTATAATCTTTAGGTCCTTGGTCTCGCATCCCTGCACCAATGGATAGAGTATCTGGTTGACGGTGTAGTATACCGAGTTCTGTTGGCTGCTGCCGGCGGTACAGAGCTTGGAAATGGCCTCCTCGCATGCCTGATTGGGAATTGGAACCGATGTGGAATTAATGGACAAATGGGAATGTCGTAAAATCAATTTCGTTTGCGCTTGACTATCAATTTCATAATTGCGTAGAACAAGCACAGGTGGAACCAGAGCAAACCACCCCCCGCCCACCGCCTGTGCTACCACCCACCACCACCACCTTCCAACTGGGTGGATGACACACACAGGCAAACTTGGGGGACAAGTGCTGCAATTAGAGAATCGCGGCCGTGAACCACACGTCAGCAGGACCCAGACTCACCTCCTTGATCTGAGGATACTTCTTCTTGGTTTCCAGCGACAGGGTCTTGAAATCCGCCTGCAGCGCCTCCACAAACTTGTGCACGTCCTGGCCCCCGCAACCGCCCCCGCCCACGAACGACATAGTTGGTCACTGGCTTTGCTGGCTACTCTCGCTTTCTGGTCACTTGACACTCACTACTCCGGACGTGGGCCGCATTTAAGTACCACAACCGATCCACGCATATGCTATGCAACCGCTTTCGACTTGGGGAAATGTAATAATAATGCAGCGCACAAATAAAAGCCGTGAAAATTTGTGATTCGTTTTGACAGCTGACGTACACAGTGCGCAATGCAGTGTTGGTAGTCGCGTCGGCGGGCTATGTTAGCTTACATCTGCGGTTCTGCTGCTAACAGCGGCCCCAACTATTCTGTAATCATAGCTGGAGAACTGTGGAAAATAACGGAAATTCAAGTTATGAAATGCATTTAGTTATAAAACACATTGCCTTGACTGCAAAAAGTCCTTTGAGAACAAACTGTCGTAACTGCAAAGCTTTAACAAGAAAATATGCTATAACTTTGAAAGTTTTAAAGTGTGCAATACTTTTATTGCCAAATTTAACAAAATTCTATAAACATGATTTTTTGTAGCTTGTGTCAAACCCACCTGGAAGATCAAATAAATTGCCGGGAAATAAGAACAAACTTCTTGCCATGGCGGGCAGACTACTGCGATACATCCTTGTCCTAATCCTTGCCAGCTTTTCTGTTGTTTCTTTCATTTCAAAATCAAAAACAATGAAAAAACATACTTTAGGTTATAATACCTTTAAAGATGTTATGTTCAAGGATCCTCAAATGCAGGCAGAGATTCCCAAAACATACTCGTTGAGGAAATTTGAAGAAACTATAGAAGATTTTAACGGTAAGATTGCTTGTCACATCAATCAAAATGTAAAAAAATCATCTTTCTCAGTTAACAGCAATGAAAGATGCGACACTTCCGCTTACTTCTGAAAACCAAAATCCATATGCGGAGAATCCGATTGCCTCAATCCAAGGCCATACAGATGAAAAGGATCACCGTCAGGGTAAGCATTGTTCCAATATCTAATTAATATTTATATTTATTTAGATTTTTTATTAACAACTAAGTATTAACAGAGTCAAAAATATGTTGTAATTACTAAACAATACTTGTTATTAGTAATAATTGCTTTTATAAACATAAAACACAGAATGGTGACTAATTTTTAATTTTCAAATATAACAGAAAACTTTACTTTGAATATACCTTATTTTTCTCAGATGACGACATAAGCCATAAAGAATTTTCCATGATGTTACTGGACTCCAAACGAATATTGGCAAAGAAATCGATGGAATTGTTATTTGTAGAAACCGATGTTCCCGTTCGAATGCCGTTAGTAGAAACCTTTTACCAACCGGGTCACATGAAGAACAATATTGATACGGAAAGGATATGTCCCCAGAATGGAGTGCATACAAAGTTGTTGGTCCTCATCACGTCAGCACTCCACCACGAGAAGGCCAGGATGTCCATTCGGCAGACGTGGATGCACTACGGCGTTAGAAGGGACGTGGGAATGGCATTCGTAATGGGACAAGGTTCCAATACGACAATTGATCAATCCCTTGAACAGGAGGGCTTCATGTACGGCGATCTGATAAGGGGTCACTTTTTAGACTCTTACGACAATCTCACTCTGAAGACGATATCATTGTTGGAATGGGCGGATCTCCACTGTCCGAAAGCCAAGTTCGTCCTCAAAACCGACGACGATATGTTCATCAATGTGCCCAAGTTGATGTCCCTAATGGAAACACTAAAAGCCAATCGATCGATCTACGGATGTCGAGCTGAGAATTGGAAGCCAATTCGGAATAGGAAGTCAAAATACCACATAACCATTGCTCAGTATGCAAAGAAAATCTTTCCCTATTTCACGACAGGACCTGCTTACCTTATCACCGGAGATATAGTTCACGACCTCTATATTCGATCCCTGAAAACACCTTTTCTCAAGCTGGAGGACGTCTTTACCACGGGCATTGTAGCTGAAAGTTTAAACATTCGAAGGGTAAACGTTCGAGAGATGGCCAATACCCGCACAAAGTTAAAGGTGTGTCAGGTTCGCGATAGGATTACCATTCATATGATACAGCCCAACGAACAGTTCCAACTGTGGAAGATGCTGCTGGACGACACCATCAAATGTGATAAAAATTGAAGTCATCTCGTTTAAGCTGTTAGAAATAAAAATGGATATCTATTTTCTATTACTATAATCGAAATAATAACGATAAAATAGGGTGTAGTGTTCAAATTACTTCTTCAAATAAAATAAATTCGTAAATTGTACAAAAAGCTTGAAATGTTCTGTTATACATTTTTGCAAAAGCACTTTAACAAACGGTCACTAGTTATCAATATCTCTAAAACTGTATTTTTTGTTATACAAAAATTTGAGTACTTTATATTTAAAAGATGGATATAAACCCATGCATTTTTTTAAGTAATATTATTTTGTAATTAATATTTAACAAAAAACTGGTTATTTACAATCCAAATAATCATGAAGATAAATTCAAACAAAAATCCACTTTAGAGCGCGCTCGTTGGCTGGAAGGCATAAAACTCTTCATCCTCCTCCTTCGTGACCTTCAGCTTTCCCTCCTTTCCTAGTTTGCTAAGATGGTGGTTTACATTGTAGGCGGCGGCGGGCCAAAGATTTTCCGGAGTCTCCTTGTAGACAACGCGAACCACGTCCATTGCCTGCAACCGTTCACTGGGTCTATCGACAAAGAACTGCAGGATTTGGTGCTCGCGCTGATTGCGATGGTTTATATAGTACTCAATCTTGCTAATGGGTTCTTCAATCACATTGCCGTGACCCGGAAAGATGCGCTTTGGCTTGATGTCCAATATCTTTTCGAGGCTCTTCATGTACTCGAATAAATCCTCGAATACGGCGGTACCTTCGCCCAGAATGCAATCGCCGCTGAAAAGCGTTCCCTCGTTCATGGCCAACACCACATGGTCGGTGGTGTGACCCGGAGTGTGCACCACTCGCACATTTGCTCCTTCCGTGGCGAACTCCTGGTTGTGGGCTAACGGATGCAGCTTGATGTGAGCCGGGATCTCAGGGCATACATCTTGGGCATCCGTGCGCCGGAACTTAAACACACGGCAATCCTTGTCGACCAATTTGGTACCCAGAATACTCTTGACACCACCCACATGGTCGTGGTGCCAGTGGGTCAGCAGTATGGTGTCGATGGAGGCCTTTTCCTGCTGCAGAACGTCATTCAGGTGCTCAATGTATTGAGGCACATCCTCGTCACCGGTGTCGATTAGGATTCTCCTTCTTCCACTGCCCAGTAGATAGGTGTTGGTGCCCTGCAATGTCATGGGACTGGGATTGCAGCCCAATATCCGGATAACGGAGGAGGTGAGTCGGGTAACGGCCGGAATTAGAGCCATTTCTTCGTTTACCAAATCTTTAAGAGGTAATAAATGGTATATAACGCTTACTCTGCAAAAACAGTATTTCAAAGCTTAAATACTTACATGGACTCGAAAGGATTATAAAAAACCTAAGGATGATAATTTTAATAGCTTGTCACGGTTGTTAAGTTTATTAAATAATCCTTAGTTCTGCAATTAAAATGAACTTTGCTCTTATCAAGTCGAGTAAGGCGCTTGTTTTCTTGCAAATCAAAACAGCTGTTGGTCTAGAGTGTTCGCAAACGTAAAGAAGGTAATGTATACAGCGGTGTTAACTAACATAGGGTTACCATCTTAATTACTGTATATTATAAAAAACAACAAAGAAAACAAAAATAAACCTTTTAATTTAAATTTTGATTTATTTTTAGCTCCGAATATTTTATTATTATTTAAAACGCCACCAGTTCAGTGTGACCAGGTGAGCTTTGGGTTTCGCGGTTTCTTACCACCTCTCGCTACTCGGTCACACTTGTGTTAATCGCTAATGTTGAGCTAATCGCGAACAAAATCGGTTTGGAATTGGGAGTAATGGTGGGCCCACAAAAAAAGAGGAAAAAATTGGAATACGTGCGGCCGCTGTAACGTTGCGAATTGTGCAAAGCCTCAAAAGTGTCATAAAACTGCCTTATTTGCGCAGCATGCAATAGAAAAAACAATCCAAATTCGAAAGGCAACGCGAAATTAAATCAGATTCTGTGCTCCACGACCACCAACAACAACAACAACAAATCGCTTGGTTTGCCAAGGTGTTAATGCTTATTTATTTATAAAACATGCCCCGCATGACTAATGAAACGGGTTGCCGTTATTAAAAACGATTAAACAACGAAAATACTCAGAAATCTACGAAAAACCAGAAAGCAAAAAAAACTCCTCAAGGCAAACACACACACACTAACAAACTCTTGTGGTGGCGCCTAGGGTCCGAGAAATAACAAAAATAGAAGGATTACAGCGACAGAAACAACAACAACAGCTATTCATCATTGTTAATTGTCAACAAAAGACAAATTTATTATCGTTAAATAAACACTAAAAGTAAGCAGAGGCATTACGGCAAGTAATTATGCTTGACCCTGGGTTAACAATAGCCCCATCTCCGATTCCAGCGAAAGAGGAAGAGAGACGCCGCAGCTAAAACTGGGAGGTGAGTTATAATAAGTCTGTCTTGGCGAAGATTCGGGAGACTTCAGTTGCCCACAGACTCGTCGACGCAACGATGACGATGCGTTGCCTAGGGTTTTTCTCTTCATCTTTTTGTTATTTTATTAACACACATTTTTGTTTGTTTGCTTGGGCAACCGATGAGCGCACATTTCCAAATTCCACGGCCGGACATTGCACCACCGCTTTTGGTGGCGGTTTCATTAACGCCATCCAAGCGAAAGATCGATCTTTCGATCTTCCGGGTATCACATTAAATTGTTTAAACTTCTATCCAGTAACGGCTATCACCTAATAAATATTGGCAATAATTTTTTAAAACCCAACAAATATACAACACAAATTCTGATAATTTATCAGTTCACGTTCCGCCCCTTTTTCATCGACGCTATCCAACCAAAAGACTTATCTTTCGGATATCGCTTGGTTTTATTAATGAAAGAGCACATGGCTAAAACCCCTATTCAGAAAATTAATTGTCAAATGAACATAATAAAACATTCATAAAGAGAATCTCTTTTTATCGGTTATATACGCCCCATGAAGCACATGTTCTGGTAATTGTTTTGAATTTAGTACCAGCAATTTAATCTCCATTATTGGCTGACCAAAGCTGTTGATATTCCGAGTATCACCTGGCATAAATAATTGGGAAACCCATGCTTGTACTTCTATGATGCACTATTTACCACCAAATAAACATTAGTTATTAAAAACTCCAATTATGACAGTTTTATGGCACAATCTCTTTTTATCGATCATAAACATAGGCCCCATGACCCACAAACACTAATAATAATTCGAAAGTATGAAGTTTTAAATAGTTTGTGCAACCATCTAATTATTAATCGTACAACGAATAACTGCTTTTCGTTATTTTTTATCAAAGATAACATTTTTCTTAAAAGATTTTTTAATTACAAAATGCATTTTAAGCAATCTTTAGGTTAATAACTGAACAAATAAATAGTGATCCGCTGTGATACTGCATTTATTTTTTTTAAATTATGCAGTAAACAACGAAATTTTTAATTTGCATTTCAAGTATATTCAAAAGATAAAAGAAAAAGGCAGGTGCTTGTTTTTTTCCCCACAACACTTAACGAACCCAAGATTTATATCTATATGCTTTAATTTTGGTCACGTCTGTAGACTAAGTGAATTCAACTTGTGCCCTCTTTCTGCAAAAAAGTTATAATTTCTAGGACAAAGTTATTTGCAAAAAAAAAACTGATAATACGAAACTGGAGGAAATAATGCAAAGCTGAGTAATCGTATATATTCTCGGATTGGGGACTAATATAAACTTTTCAAAACATTTATTAACACGTTTCTGTGTCCAGCTAAATCTTCCTGGCTGTAACTATGATTGATAGCGGGGCATTGGGAGATGAAGAGTGTTTCGTCGAGAGGCCCGAAAACCCGTTTGCCGCCAAACCGGCGATTATCTGCGGTTCATTGTACTTATTAGCAGACTCGGAGTGGGGCCACGACAAAAGTATAACCGACCGCCAGCCAGATTGGAAGTTTGGACCCACTTCCGCTAGCCGCTTGCCTCTCAAAGCTCAGACTTTTTCTGCTGAATCTGAGTAGCACTCCGTCAAATTACGCGCTCTTGTCAAATTTCACGGCTCTTTGGCAATTTCGCACACAATTACAAGGGGAATAATCACTGCAAACTGCCAGAAGATGTAAACAATTAGAGTTGAAGTTCTTTCACGTTGCTTTTAACTTAAAAACATTAAATATCAAAGCGAAACTTTAAGAATATTTCCAATGTATAGGTTTTCCCATTCACCAGACAACCGTTTAAGTTTTTTGCCGATAAGAAACGAACTGCGATAATTGAAAAGAACTCATTTATAGTAAACCCAGCGATTTATGAAGTGCAATTAGCGAGTGTGTCTTGTCAGTGATTCATCTCATCGTTAGATAAGCCGCACTTTCACTTTTGCTGAACAAACAAAGCAGTAATCTGTTATCAATACGCTTTACGTCACGCTGCGGTTCCAGAATAGAAATAGAGAAATTCGCCTTTAGCTCAGACTTTGTGCGTCTGTTGTTCAGCTATACGATAAGCCCAGAAACAACACGATACGACAATGTCGGATTTAGCCTCCGAAAAATTCCACTCTCCCCGTACTCGTGGCTATTCTTTCCGGTTTCCAGTAGACACTTGACCAAAGCAAACCCAATTCTCTACGTGTTTATCGTTGCAGTTTATCGTTACCTTCCATTAGTTGACTAAATATATGGCAGAATTCGTTCAATTAAAGCTCTACGCTGTACTATCTTATCTGCTACAGAACAGATATAATAAATATCTGTCATTTAAGGGGCAGTAACTCTGTAGCGCTTATAATTAAATGATAAGTGGAACTTCGCAGAAAAAGTTATTGTCTAATCAGCCCAAGGTTTTGCTGAAAACATTCAGATACATACTTTCAGATATATATACATTCAGATACATATGTACATTCACTATTACATACTGTAAGGTTTTTGAGTAGCAAAAAATGATATAGATCTTGTTTTTCAATGAAAAAACCTCTTCAAATGCAATACTTTCACTCAGACAGAATTTTGATTTGATTGGTTTTCCCTCTTTTAAATTGCGACTTATGTTACTCTCAATCTAGATTAGATAAGTTTCGAATATCAGCTAATTGGTTTAAACTAAAACGATTTATAATCTCAACAGGAAAGGAATTTCTGTTCTTCCAAAAGCAACAAACACGAATTGTTTCCATGACAGCTATTTTTAGGAACTTAAGCTTAAGCGATTTGCCAGATTGTCTAAACTTGGGCTTTTCAGAAAGTTTTGCAAGTTTAGCTCAACAAATTCACAACAAGAAAATCAGATACTTAGAAAGATTGAAGGCCCCGTTAAGTTTGTATATTTATATAGTAATTGCCTCTGTCAAGCTATTAAAATCTAGATAGTCTAGATTTCGTGTTTATTTCGCTCCCATATTTTCTATGCAAATATTGACATATCGGACATAAAACTTACCTTTCCGTCTAGACAGATAAGATACGCGATAATCACTTGATAATAACTACCTTATCGGCACACTTATTGCCGGTGACGCATTGGGGATTTTCATTGACTATTCAAGACAGTTGGGGGCCAAAACGAAAGTCGTTGGGAGAGTTACGATTGCCGTCTTGCCGCTTTATTGATTTTCATATCGAAATGTCACATTGGGTCTATTTTTACGTCAGTCGACCGACAAGGTGCGATTAAAGTTATATATAAAAGGTAATGGGATTCCAAGAAAGCCCTGAAACTCCCAGATGGGATCGTCCGATAGGCAATCTTATCGTCCAGTCGACCAGCTAAAAAAAAAACGAGTCAAGTGGCTCCGGCGATTCTGGTCAAGAGTCTGGCTGACGTTTGTTCTGCTCCCTTGGGTTTCTTTTCAATTCCCAAATCGGGTCAAGATTGCTGTTGACTTGTTTGAGCCGCATGCAAAGTGGAGACGGAGCCCCAAGCGATGTCGTGACAATTCTGGATGCTGTGCGTGCTCTCCGCTTTCGGAGAATTCATTAGCCTACGGAAACTTCCCAAGTGCTTCGCCGTTCGTCACTCCCATTACCATATAAATCAGTTAGGTACTTGCCTTGTGGTTTCAAAAAAAAATAGTTTTAGCTCATTTTCTTCGGGTAGCCTTACTACAATATTAAACAGAGTTAGATACATTTATAAATTTATGTGTTTTAAATATAGCAAAAATATTTCCATCATTTCGAAGCAGAAGCTGCAAGCATGAATTGCATTATTCAGAAAGTGCGACAGAAGTTTTATTATGAATGCGGCAAATATTGTAATTCAAACAGGCAAAATAAAAACTTTACCACAAGTTGTAGCGTAAATGCAAGTTAAATTTACTTTTTGTACAATTCCAAAAGCATACATAAACGCTATCTTTTTGCGAAGGTAACTCCACCTTATTCTTTATTCAAATATTTGCATTTCTCCGGTAATGGTAACGAAAACAACCCAATAGGGTATGAGGTTTCGGATCGACGTAGAGATACCATTTTAAATTCGAGAAAATAATAAAATAAATATTTTCACAGAATCAATAAATATTCCATTTGCCATTATTGCTTTAATTAATACTTCAGTCGCTTTAAATGCTTTTAATGGAAATCATGAAAATAATGGGGAAACACGTTTTGATCTCTAGAAAATGAACCACATTCGCCACCTCCCACCGCCCAATCTATATAACTAAAAATATACCTTCGCGTTCCCAGAGTGCCGGGTATGGGAGCACTTAACAAATCAGCTGAATAACTTGTTTACTTACATTTCCGTGATGTTGTTCTCATTGCAGTTGCATCCCAATCGTCGTTAGGTTTGCAAGTCTCCGGAGAACATCGTTATCCAAAATACTCAGGCACTGAAGGCGAAACAAACAGCACCCAGCAGACCAAAAGCCGCAAAACGCAAACCGAACAAGTGGAGCGGTGGAGTCCCCAGACTGAAACCAAGACCGAGACTGACTGAGAGATTCGAGAGAGATTCATAAAGTGCCACCGAAAATGGCCGTAGGCAATCTACACAACACGCGCATGCTGCGCTTCCTTTTATTCCTCATTGTGGTGATCCTAACCATATTCATCTACACCTCGTACTCGACGACGGGCGGCCTGGCGGCGAACCATCTGCATTCGGCGGCATCGCCGCCCCAGCAATTAATTGGCATCCATCCCGGTCGCCAGCCGGTGGACCAAGTGCCGATAGTCAACAACACGGAGAAGGAAAACAGTCAGCAGTCGGCTGGCGGGGAGAGTGCGGCAAAGATAACCAGCCGGCAGTCTTCGCAGCCAACGGAGGTTCACAAGAAGCATCCGCAGCACCGGCTGCCCACCATCGACGAGGATGCGCTGCTCGACGGAGGCTCTGCCGGCGCAAGTCCCCAGGTGGGTGGCGCCGAGCAGACGCCCAATGTCATGGCGGACGAGCTGCTGGAGGAGCAGCAGTATGGCCAGAGTGTTGATGGCATCACCGGTGAGAGTGGCTGTCCGTCTGGTAGTGCTAACAATGCTAATTTCTCGCTCGTTCCACAGGCAACATCAACAGCAGCGCCAATAATAACAACAACAGCAGCTCTGCAGACACGTTGGTTGTCAAACAACCGATTCCCGCCCAATCACCACAACAAGTGCAGTCGCAGCAGGCGCAGCCAGGTCTCTCCGATGCGGAGCTCCTCATACCCACGTCCAATTTGCAAAAGTTTATCGAGAACGCCGATAAGATACTGAAGAACATCACCGCGAACAGCAGCACGGGCAATGGAGCTGCCGTTCCCGCAACAGGAACTGACCCAAACACGGGTAATTAAAACTCTCAAAGATATAGGGAAACCTTCTACAAAATAAAAACACACCACATAAAAGGTTGAGTCCCAGAAAAGAAAAACATATCCTACTTACTGAAAGAAAGTAGCTTAAACAAGTTATGAAAATTAAACAACGTACCCTGATATTTGAAAACTGCTTTAAAAAAGTTAGCCTTTAGATAACCAATTCTACAATGTTTCAATTAGTTTACTTAATTACTATTCTTTTGATTTAAAGAGCATTCGCTTTAATTTACTTTTACCTAAGCATACATGGCAAACATGCTTTATTATCAAGCATAATTCTTTCGAATAGCTGTCCTTAACGAGTCAATTATTTATTGTGCTACACGCTTCCATAAGAACCCCTCCAAAGTTAAACATTTGCACAGACAAAGACCCGCTGACGTCGCACCCATTCGTATTGCTCCATGGCAATGGCGTTCGATATGTACCGTCTGCTAATATGGCACGGTATCGTGTTTCATTATGGAAGCGTTGTAAACAATCACACGTTATTGCATATTATTTGATTGCAGTCAAACAGCTGCTAATGGGAACAATTAGAATTCAGTTGCCTCTTTGTTTATTTGTAATTTTATGCCGCCTTTACGACACAGGAAGCACTAACTATCTAATGTTTCTTGCAGATAAAGGCAATCAAGGGGATTTGTCACAACTGAATTTGGTGGACGGCCGACTGGAAGTCTCAGAGGTTGACTCTGAAAAGCAGGGTAGAATCCAAGGCGGTCCAGGAGATCAAGGAAGCGAAGAAGGAGGCCCAAGCTCCAGCACCAAAGTCCGCCCGACCAGCAGTGGCCGCCGCGAAGACGACGAAGACCAAGAACTTGGCGCCAAATACTCCGGTGGATCCTTCAAAAGGAGTGGTAACCTCGGAGCTCTATGAGTCGGGTCACATGGACGAGGAAATAGATGCCGAACGCATCTGTCCGAGGGGCGGAGAGTTCATCAAGCTTCTCGTTCTCATCAGCTCCGCGATGTCCCACGATGCGGCCCGAATGTCCATCCGGCAGACGTGGATGCACTACGGCAGCAGAAGAGACGTGGGCATGGCATTCGTCCTGGGACGGGGCACCAACGAAACCTTAAACAAGGCGCTTACCCAGGAGAACTTCATCTACGGTGATCTGATACGAGGCAACTTCATTGACTCGTACAACAACCTCACCCTCAAGACGATCTCGACGCTGGAGTGGGCGGATCTGCACTGCTCGAAGGCAAAGTACATCCTCAAGACGGACGACGACATGTTCATCAATGTGCCCAAGCTGCTGACCTTCCTCGACAAGCACAAGGACAAGCGGACCATCTACGGTCGCCTGGCCAAAAAGTGGAAGCCCATCCGCAATAAGAAGTCCAAGTATTACGTGTCGGTCGATCAGTTCGCGGCGGGCGTATTTCCGTCCTTCACCACTGGACCCGCCTACGTTCTCACCGGCGACATTGTCCACGAGCTGTACGTCCGATCGCTGAAGACCGTGTATCTGAAGCTGGAGGACGTGTTCACCACGGGCATCGTGGCCAAGAGCCTGAACATTAAGCGTCTGCAGGCGAACGAGTTCGTCAACCGACGCATCTCATTCAACCCGTGCAACATTCGCAACGCGATCAGCGTGCACATGATCAAGTCGAACGAACAGTTCGATCTGTGGAAAAAGCTGCTGGACCAGACCACCAAGTGTAAATAGTATTTTAAGTTTAGGGTTTAGTCTGCCGATTAAAAATTATCCAGTGTGAGGAGGGTGGTCTTTCGAGATGAAGAGCAAATTTATGTAATATGGTACGAGTAGAGAATGAAGATTAGCAAAGGCAGTTATAGGATTATAAAATTAGCCTAGTCTCTAAGTCCTAGAAATATCACAAATTTCGCTGTCGATGTCGCTGCATCTGCCTAAATGCACGCGGTCCTACAGTGATTCGAGTACATTTTAAACGATTTGTAGCTTAATTTTAGCATTCTGAATGCCATTATTTAAATGATAATTACTGAGCGATAACTGTGGTTATATCTTAACACTAAATACATTAATGTATATCAAGAGAAACCGAAATTGCCTTTTACTTTCACAAACAATAAATTTTTGGGACTTATTGGATCATTATTTTTAACGTAAGTGGAAGTACGTTATATTTTCTTGTTTATAGTAAAGAGATTTCAACAGTTTGAAGGCGAGATTTCTACTAGCAACAAGATAAAAACAAAAGCTAATTTATTTCAGAAACATGATTAAACACTTTATTTCATTAATTTTTGTTTATGAATTCATATAAAAATAAAAAAAACCAAAAAACCATTTTCTAAAATACACAAAATTATTATTAAGTTGACATTACATATTTACTTTTGAAAATTTGCATAAACAAAATTCAGTTTTTTAGCTATAGCCTTTTGAATTTATTGCACAACACTGGGTGTCTAGTATACTAAAAGCGCTTTTAAAGTAAGTATCGGTAAGATTTAGGACATTTTACCAAAAGTAAGTCTGGTGAGTTTTGCCCGTCTCCCTACGGTCACACTGCAGCCTAGACGAAAAAAAGACGCGAAAAGATGCATAGAATATAAACAACGGTGAGAAAATATAATTTTACAATCATCAAATATGAAAATACATTTATTTGGTTAACACAAAACTATTAACCCTCAAGAATTTTTTTTAACAAAACAAGTTTAAAGTCAGCTGTGAAAAAGTAGCTTGTGCGTGTGTAACATAAATGTCTACTTTGGTCACAAAGAGTGAAAAAAAAGAAACGAAAAGTTTCTGTGGCTATATAATCTCCTCTTCGGACTCTGCTTAGAAGTTTACAAAAATGTTAATACCGTAATTAAGCCACAAAACGTTGCCCTTGGCAACAAATCTTTGCTGCATCTTGCACATAATCACACACACACTTGAGACTTCCCAAGGTAAAGGAGACGAAAAGTGTTGAATAAATTATAAGAGTAGGCGGAAATCTCCATTTCGCGAATGATTCTTCGCTTTCGAAAGGAAAAGAATCTCTGCTAATTGGTATTTTTATGCCCGCCTGTCTCATTAGCGGCTTTTCAGACGTCAGCAGGCGTTTGCCTATGTGTGTATAAGTATGTATTATATATACACATGCATAGTTGGATTCCCAGTTAAACGGTTGTTTTTGCCCTGTTTGAGCTCGGATTCTATGGCAGATTATGCAACCCACTCTATTTCCATCTCTCTCGGTCGTCTCCGATTCTTTGGCTCAATGAAAACGACATTTAAATTAATTGTTTGCCCAAAATACTTTCCGCTCTCGTCGCCCTCGAGTAATTTGCTTAATTGTGGCATCAGCTGTTGAAAATTTCCCTGCAAAACTAATTAAGCCTTTTTAACGGTAGCACTCCATTTTGGCAAATACTTTCACGATTTTAGCCAACTAATTAAATTATTGTCTTCGATTCGTGGCAGTTTTTCGCCTTATTTTTGCATGTGTATTGCTTTCGTCTGTTTGCGTTAAGCTATTTTTGTATCTTTTTTTTTTGTGTTGCTATTTTCGCATTTGTTTTGGCCAAGCAGTTTTGGCCAGATTTTTTCTATGTACCGACCTGCGAAATTCACACAAACGCCTTTTAAAGTACGAAAAGCTTGTGAGTTAAATATAATATTTGCTATCAATAACCATATTGACTCTGAATTAAACTCGCTGCGAACTGTGATTAATTTAAATCCCCTACACTCATCCATCTTGATCACAATTCGCAAAGTTCAGGCTTATCAATGAAAGTGTCCATTTTATAGGTTCGTTGGCTCTTATCAGTTTTTTTTCCGCTTCGAACAGCTGGCCATTAATTGTGCATATAAAAACAAATAGAAAAGCTTTACGCCTTCTATATTCGACGTGGCATCGGGTCAGTCACTCCCGTCACAGGAAAGATATTATACAATAAATTCCTTTTATAGTTTCCGCCCTCTTTTGACTGCCCCATTGAGTAATAATCTTGGGAACTGAACTGAGCGTAATTGCTTGTTGGTGCAGGTTGCGGTTGCTGTGCGGTAATTCATTCAATATTTCTGTTTATAAACAAATGCCAGGCGGTCGTATTAAGAGAAATTAAAATATATGCTATACAACCAATGGGTATTTGCTTATTCAAAGCAAAACGGATTAGATAATTTAATTGGTAGTCATCAATTTGACAAGTGGATTTTCTAGAAAACCACCTATAAATAATTCTCGTTTGATGGCCTTAATAATCAGAAATAATTTCTTTTCCAAGATATCTGAATACAGCTCAATATTTTTTGTCCAAAATAAAAATACACTTTATTATAATTAAGAAATCAAATAAACAGTAATAATAGTTATAAAATTGTATTTTTTCCATTTCCTTTGTACTGTTTGTAAATCGTCGATATTTTATTTACAAGCCTAGTTTTTTAGTTCTATCGTACTTTTTCCATTTTAACTTGTTTACAGTAGCAGTATTAGTAGTACCTTTTCTTCCTTCCCATGCCTTTAAGTTGAAAATCTTTATTGCGTGCAAACAGAAAACCGGAGACTGAGAAGAATGAAACCACAATCCGGTAGACAGTCACTATTATAATGCATTATTCAAAAGAGTCGCTCTGAATTAAACATTCGCTCAACTTAAAGTTCCACACTTTCAGCTCTGTCTTCCACTTGTGCGTCGCAATTTGGACACGCAACTGGAGTCCGCGTTCTCCTCCTCTCAAAAGTCCACAGTTTTATTTATAATATTTACCTAACGTATTGATTTTGGCCAATGTTCTGGCTCATTTTTCCCCCTCTCCCAAATCAAATGTGAGTTGCGACAGTGTTTTGGGCTTCCGAAGGGTGATAGCGAAAATCAATAATGACCAAAAATCCAAAGTGGACTAATTGAGGCTTTTATGCCGAAAATGGGGCAGTATAATTTCGTCAGGAGTTAGCAATAACTATAGAAGGCTCTTCCATAAATGAGCGTAACTTTGTGGTTATTTCCAAAAAAAAATAACACACAGAGAGTTGCGTAGTTCTCCATTATGTTTACACTCGATAAAATTGCAATAATCAGTGCCAGTGTGTTTGGTAATTGCTCTAGAAGGTTCTATTTGATAATTTAGATAAAATTTGCTTTTATTATACGATTTAACCTCTTAATTGTGTAGCTACCATAACTATTTCAAAGATTATACAACTCAAATTTTTCTTACTACTTAACTAATTTAACAATGCAATTTCATAATCCTTTTTGTAAACTTTGGATTCTAATCTTTCAATCTTCCAGGTGTACTATGCGACCGTATAAATTTTTGAGATTACATACTGAAAAATGGAAGCAATATCGAAGATTCCCCTGATATTGTGTGCCTTGTTCGTCGTGGCCAACTGGGCAGTTGCCGTCAGTGGCGAAGGTTTCAGCTGCCAGGCCATCTACAGTAGCGTCGAGGCATCTCTAGCCGAAGTGCCGCGACAGCATCGTCCGCAGATCCGGCCAAGGACGAGGACATGGCAGGAGCACGAGTTCTCGCTGCTGGGCTACAAGTTTCACCTGCCGTTCGTGGGGCATGCAGTCGACTCGGAACTAGATGATAGTGACAGTGATGAGGGTCTGTGGCTGGACGCACTGGACGCCGGATCGGAGAGCGTGGAGGTGGAGGAGCACGACCTGCCTGCCGATGGTCAGGTGAATCACTCGGCCAATGTGTTCAAGCTCAGCTGCGAACGTGTGGGTCTGCGGCAAGTCAACCAGGAGCTGATTTCGCAGCGGAGTGCGCACATAAATTACCACCAGCTGATGCTGGTCCATGTGGCAGATGATCTCGGCAATCCCCTCAAGCTGCCGCAGTACGAGAGCGTCAGGGAGTTCTCCTGGCTGGAGAGCGGCCTACGGGATGAAACGATCAGGCAGCTCTTCACCCGCCAGCCCCACTGCTTCGAGTACATGGAGCGATTAAACCTCGCCGAGAATCAGCTGGAGTGCCTGAATTGGGCCATACCCCAGGCTATGCGACGCTTGAAAGTACTTAAGATGAGCGGCAACCGGCTGGCCAACTGCAGTCTGATGAACCTGCAGCACATGAATCACCTGGATGAACTGCACTTGGACAGAAATGGATTGAGCCACTTGCCGCAGCGCTTCCTGGGCGAGCTAAGCGAACTGCGTATGCTTAATCTCAGCCAGAATTTGCTGACAGAGCTTCCGCGCGACATATTCGGAGGAGCCTTGAAGCTGGAGCGGCTCTATCTGTCCGGGAATCGGCTGACTGTCCTGCCATTCCAGCTCTTCCAAACCGCACGCGATCTTCAAGTGCTGGACCTGAGCGACAACCGACTGCTCTCCTTTCCGGACAACTTCTTTGCCCGGAACGGCCAGCTCCGCCAGCTGCACTTGCAGCGCAATCAGCTCAAGTCCATTGGCAAGCACAGTCTTTACAGTCTGCGGGAACTGCGGCAGCTGGATCTCAGTCAGAACTCGCTGGCCGTCATCGATCGCAAGGCGTTTGAGTCCCTGGACCAGCTGCTGGCCCTGAACGTGTCCGGCAACAACCTGACCCTGCTGTCCTCCATCATCTTCCAGTCGCTGCATGCCCTCAGGCAATTGGATCTCAGTCGAAACCAGTTCAAGCAGCTGCCCAGCGGCCTGTTCCAGAGGCAGCGCTCCCTGGTGCTGCTGCGCATCGATGAGACGCCCATCGAGCAGTTCTCCAACTGGATATCGCGTTACGATGAGTCCCTGGTGGATCCGCAGGTGCTCCATCGCCTGCGTTACCTTTCCTTGCAGCAAAATCGACGGCTCACCCATTTGCCTGCCACTCTGTTCGCCAATACTCCGAACATAAGGGAGCTTTTGCTGGCCGAGAACGGATTGCTGCAGCTGCCCTCCCAGATCTCCGGGTTGTCCCGTCTCCAGCGGCTCAGTGTCCGCGGGAATAGCTTGGCATCGCTGCCGGAAAGTATCAAGGAGCTCAGACAGCTGCACTACCTGAACATTTTGGGCAACGAGTACCAGTGTGACTGCAGCATGTACTGGCTAACCGCCTGGCTGGCCAATACCAGCACCGGCCTTCGCCACCTGCCGCCCCAGGCACTCATTAACAATGCCAATCCCAGCCAGACTCCGCTGGACTCGTACGAGAGCATCGATGACCAGATCGATGCACTGAAATGTCAGTATGGCTATCCCGGCGATATGCTGCGCGTGCTCAGCAATCTCAACTGCTCGGTACCCTCGGTGGTGCAGTTCTCCGAGCCCAAGATGCACAAGCTCCTCTCTACCGCCAAGCTGGAGTGCCAGATCTCCGGCAGCCCGGTACCGGACATCATATGGGTAAGGATGATATATCAAACTACCTTTAAGTAAATTTTTTTTTTTTTATACACATTACACTTTAATGAACTTTATTGAGTATTAAATTTAAATTTAGAATGAGCTGTACTTAAGATTTCAGGGTATAATAATGGTATATGTTCGCTTTTATTGCTTAACATAGAGCTAATCATTTGCGTTTTATCAGGTTACGCCCCGCAATAAGATTCTGCGCCATCATGCAGATCCCGACAAGCGACCGATCATCATCGACAGCAAAGAGGATGCTCACCAACCACCGAGTGCCCAGGAGTTGGCCGCCTTGATGGACGAAAGTTACATTCAGAACTTAAACTTGACGCGGCAACAAAGTCTGGTCGGTCAACGCGTGGTGTTGGTGGAGAACGGATCGCTGCTGGTGCACAACATTTCCAGGATTGACAGTGGCTTGTACACTTGTTATGCCTTCAATGTAATGGGCAAGGCCTCAGCGGGATTACGGTGAGAGTAGCTGGGAAATTATAAACATAAACGTATCCCGAATTAATATCATCCTTTTACAGACTGTACATCGATCCTATTGTGTTCTACCGGGTGAAAATCGGAAGCATACTGTTTGGAACGGCGCTGGCCACCGCATTTCTGCTGCTCACCTTGATGGTGCAGGGATTGAGGAGCTGTCTATCCCGGTGGGGCATCTGCGACCGTTTCTATTGCTGCGCCAATCGGAACAAGAAGTCACCGCGACCGCGCCAGATATACGCCATGCTGGACAGCATCGAGACCTACAAGAGCCAGCAGTTGGAGAGACTGCGCGAGAACTACGCCCAACAGGTGCACCGCATCCGGGAGAACTGCGCCCAGCAGGTTGAGTGGATCCAGAGCAGCTACACCAGCCAGGCCAAGCACATTCGCGAGTTCCGAGACATTGGTTCGAATCACCTTACCACGCTGAAGGACCAATACTACGATCAGGTGAAGAAGGTCCGTGACTACTCGACCGGCCAGTTGAGCTGGGTGCGAGAGAACTACGTCTTCCAGAGGAACAAGATCCGTAAGTTCAGTGCGCATCAGGTGCTGCGCCTCCGGGAGGGATACAAGTACCAACAGCAGACACTGAACAAGGTGCTGGAGAACCTGCCCAGTTTCTACTTCGAAAATTGCCGCGGGCGCTGTGAAGAGGACATAGCCGAGGGTAATATAGCAATATACCTTTCTACTTTGATTTTTAATACAAGCACTCTTAATCAACAGACATAGACTGCTATTTCAAGGGCCAAATGGACTTTGCAGGCTCCAAGGAGCTGCACATTCAAAAAATTAAAGCGCGCCTATCTGCCAATTACTCAGCCAGCAAGGCGTCGATATACTATACCCCACCAGACGATTGTCTGCTGCATGCTTCGCAGCTGAACCTGCAAACCTCACCCATCCACATCAACTACATTGACGAGAATCTGGACGAGCAGAAGCAGTTGGAGCACGACTTTAAAATGGAGCCTCAGCTGCTGCTGTTCAACGTTCCGAAGCTCTACCTAAATCCGGAAGGAGCCAGCAGCAGTGGACAGGCGGCGGCCATGGAGGCGGTAGCTGCCCTGTCGCAGTGCATCAGCATGGAGGACAATAACCAAGAGCAGGAGATGCAGCCCCTGAAGAAGACAAATGGCCACCAAATGGAACTAACCGAACTGAAGGACATAAACGATGTGAAGAACTCGAAATCATGTCCTGCCATTTACAAGGTGTCGAAGCAGCGCGACGGCAGCACTCTGCATGAGTTGCAGAAGGAAGGTGAAGAGCCCTACCAAATGCTCCGCCTAAATCCTGTGGAGACCGTGGGTCCTGCTGCGCAGCCGAGGACGGAGAAACTGAACATTATTCTTGATGAATGTGCGAGGGCAACCGATGGAACGATAAGTGAAACGCCTCCATCAGAATCCAGTTGCGAATCGAACAGCTTGGCCGCCAGTTGCGGTGATGTCTGCCAGGTTAGCAGCAAGCTGGCCAACGCTTCTTCTTCGTCGTCTCCTTCTCCCAGGGCAGCCCCTGCCAGCACTTAGAGATTTTTTAATTTAAAATTAGTAATTATATGAAAAGTGTACGAAAATATAAATTGTAAAGTCTTAAGTGAATCCAACACATTTGCTAAGAAATTAGTGTTAAAACCTCGATATGTAATGGTAAGGGAGACAACAATAAATCCACTTAGCGTTAACTAGAAGAAAAACATATGAACTAAAGTGCTGAACACTAGAGAATATCGGAGCAAGTCATACGATTACACCCGGAAGATGATCAAAATCGAAGATTTAAGAATTTAATATTGCGGTCAACTCATACCTGGAAACCTACTGCTAAGGTATCATGTCAATAACACTTGAAAAGAGTCCCCATTTGTGATTTCATTGCATTACGAGTATAAAGCATCAAAACTGTAACGAGCAAGGCGTATTTTAAAGTAAAACCGACAAATTTTAATCAAATTGTATGGGAAGTAAAAACAAAGATCTACAAATAAATGGTTTACTACAAAGCAACCAGCGTAGTTTAACTAACAACTTTACAAGCTGAGAAATTGAAGCACCTCAATCCTTTTCCTATTTTTAATTGCATTTAAAATTTGTTTATATATTCTCGATTTTTTTGCAGGAAACATAAAATAACGATAACGAAAGACTGAGGAAAAGAAGCTGCACTCCTAGGGATCGGGGCATTCTGGCTGCTTGAGGATCTCGATGCAACAGGGATTGGCGTCGATCTTGCACACCTCGCTCTCCGTCTCCACCTCGCTGAGATCGGTGAGATCGCACTCGCAGGGGAAGCACTCCATCTCGCCGCCCTCCTCGCCCTCGGCCTCCTCACCCTCGCCGTACCAGCTGATCTTCTCCTCGCTGCGGACACTCGGCACAGTGGAGAGTGAGCAGACGGACAGCTCCGAGTCGGAAATGGCCAGGGGAACGGGCTCCTGGGGCAGCAGCGAGAAGTCGTAGACGGCGATCTCCTGGGCGAACCAAAGGGTGGGTGCCATTGGCGATTCAGTGTCCTGCTCATCGTCCAACCGCTCCTCAAGATACTCCATTTCGTCCATGTTGCCGAGCGCATTGAAATTGTAGTTGGCAGGCAGGAAGTAGCCCAGCAGCAAATACCGATTGTTAAAACTGAACACGGCCGGTCCACTTGGATAAAGCGAGTCCCAAATTCCGTGGAGTACGGTGCACTTGTCCTCAGTGCCGATGTACAGCTCAAAGGGACCCGTTCTTAGGTTGCTGTTCCAGGTAGACTTCAATCTCACGGTTAGGCAACAGCCATCTGTGCCGCTGTTGAAGCGGTAGATTCCGACTCCGTGGCGTTGACCCTTGAACCAGTCACCCGAGTATGTGTCCCCATTTACGTAGTTGTATCGCCCTTTGCCGTGCTTCATGTGCTTGCGCCAGTTGCCCTCGTAGACGGATCCGTCCGGATAGATGAAGATGCCACGCCCACAGCGTTTGCCGCAACGGTATTGTCCATAGTACCGGGATCCGTCCTTGAACACGTACAGCCCGATGCCGTGGCGGCGACCCTTGCGGTAGTTCCCGTCGTACTGATCCCCGTTGGGCAGGATGGCCCAACCTCGTCCGTGTCTCTGGCCGGCCGCATTACGTCCGCCTATATAAAGCTGGGAAGTGGGAAAAATTTATACACATTTTTGAAGATTGAACTCACTGGAACTTATAATAAAAATAATAAGAAAGGTAATTTCATTTTTAAAATTTATTACTTAACAAAAAAGAATAAATAAAACTCAAATAAGAACCTGTACACATTTAATTTTAAAAATTATTTATTAATGTAGAAGAACTTCTTCAGCTACGCGTTTTCCCCTTACATCGAACCTTCCACAACCATTTCCAACTTACTCCTATGTTGGGTCCCAAATCCTCCTCCTCTTCTGGCGCCGACAGATCCTCCTCCGACACATCAGTTGTGCCCATGGTGATTTTGAGTTAGTTCGCTTGGTTCTTTATTGACGAGTGAAATACAGATTTTTACTTATGACTTATTTTCGGGAAATATTTTGTGTAGGAATTAAATAAATGTATTCTGTTTGTAAAGTTAACTTAGCAAAGGCATACTACAATAAATATCAGAATCAACGATCGAGGACCTGTGGTTACGTTTTCGCATAGAAGTAGTTGGCCAGGGGGGTAGCGAATGGTCAGAGCAACCAGAGTACACATCACCTGGAATCCCATCAGCATCTGTGTGACCACTCGTTCATGGACGGGTCCAAAAATAACCAGGACAAAGTTGATGAGGGTGAAATTGTTGGTCCTCACGACTCCGTCCGCTTTGGTATGCCAGCTTATCAGTCGCAGCTTCCGCAGCACTGTGACCATCAGGCGACCCGGAGTGTTGAGCTCCTCCAGGCGGAACTCCGTGGTGCTGATGTGCAGCAGATCCGTCTTGCCGTCGTACTTGGGCAACCGGTGACGGGGGCAGGGCACGAAGTGGAACAGCTGGGGGGTGGAGTATAAGAAGTTCAATATCTGCGGCAGGAAGAACAGCAGCAAGGTCTTGCTGAAGTGCCCCAGGATGCCGACCACGGCAAAGGTCATGCCAGCAAAGTAGCAGTAGGTGTCGCCAACAAACACCTGCGATGGATATCTGAAAATAAATATTTCGATCTTAAAGTAATTATAATTCTTGAATTAAATATAAAACTCCTCTTCATATTTTTAGTCACACGTAGAATTTAAATACAAATTAAAGCCTAATTTGACTAATATATATATTTTTTTTATTAAATTTAAAAATATTTTTCATCAGGTTTTGAATAACACAATCAGTTATAAATGAATAAAATTTATGATTTAAATTTTAGTTTTTGTTAAAGGATTTAAGATGTTAAGTTGCTTTTAGCTTAGAAACACGCGTAAATGGTTCTGCATTTTTTGATTTATATTTGATTTTAATGTGCAGTCTTATTTAAAGAATTTCAATAATCGCTTTTTATAAGACTGCATTTAATTTTGAATGAATAACAGTATAACCAGTGTTGTAAGCCACCCTACGTCAAACTTCTAGCTAGATTTCCCTCAAAAGTTGTATTCCCGCTGCAGCGGTAAACAGCTGGGAGAAAAAAAGAGAGGACATTTGCGACAGCTGTGTGGGGGAGGTACCGTAAAAATTTTGGGCGTGTTTTTCAGTCGCAGAAAAGCGAGAAAAGTACGGAAAATTTAACGGAAATGAGCCGAAAGAACTGCAGAAAGTGAGCCCGCAAACATGGTGAGGAGCACGATCCTGGCAGCGCACTCCCTGCAAACGGGATCCGGCGTGGGTCGCCTGGCCATAACCAAGAAGCTGGTGCTCTGGTCGGTCTTAGTCCTGCAGGTGGGATTCATTGGCTGCATATGGCTGATGCAGATGAGTCGCGGCCAAGATACCCAGCAGCGGAGTGCCTTGGATCAGACTGCCGGCCGAGTCAACTTTGTGGCCAGTGGCGAAGCAGGAAAAACGGCCTCGGAAAGCGTTTCCCACACGAGTGGAACCCGCTGTCCACGGCAGCAGGAAAATGTCAATCGCTACGAAAGGGACTTTTACCAAATGAAACCAATCGATAGACTGAACGAATCCCACCTGCCCGACTACAATGTACCCGCCTATGTGGACGCAGAAATGGGTCTGACCCCCGCCCTTTGGTGCTATCGCGAGGGCACCATAAACGAGACTCAGCATCTCAACGATGTAGACTACCTGATTGCCCCGCTGCAGTGCAAATGCGAGATTGGCTGGCACGGCAGAGACTGCGGCCAACCGGAGATCATCTGGCGAGCTTTGATGACCTCCAGTCGAGCGAGCAAACGTGGCGGCAGCACCCCGCTTCAACTGGTCGAGGCCAGTACCACTTCCCTGCACCGCCTGTTCTACATGCTGGAGCTGGGAGCCTGGGATCACCTAAGTCTGGAGCTCTTGGAGCTGCAAATTCGAGCCCTCATCAAGGTGGTGGACTACTTCCTCATCTACTACGTGAGCAATGGCAGCAAGGAGCGCAGTTTGGAGAGCATGCTGGGCAGTAAAACCAGCTATACTCTACTACGTTGCTCATCCGAGAGCAACTGCAGCAGCTCCATGGCCTTCAGTCACTTCAGGAGGCAACTGTGGCAACAGTGTGGCGTCCAGATGCAGGCTCAGGACCTGCTGCTCCACGGGAACAGTGAAACGGTCTATGCACCCGCAGCTCTCAAGTTTCTAAAGTACTATGCAAAGGATGTGCTGCCGATGCGATTCCGTTTGAAGTATAACGTTTACGGATTCTTCTGGCAGCATCCGAAGAAGACCCTTCTTAACGGGGTGATAAGTTCCTTGGGGCACCTGCACAGTGCCCAACTGGACGCCCATCGGCTTCAGCGACAGGCGGCTAGCACGCTGGGCGACCTAAACCACTACGGCGGTTGGAACTGCGCGTTGTGCCTGCCACCCGAGCAAATTGTGCTCCTGCTGCAGAGCTCCAGCCGGCAAAAGCTACCTGTAAAACTACCCAACGACACTAGAAATGCCCACATCGATGCCACCTACATGCAGCAGTTGATAGCCAATGGAGTCCACATCGACGGCAGCACACAGTTGCATCGGTTACGCGAGCAGAGCGAGAAGTATTTTGCCCCGGAAGAGGCACTCCTGCAGAGCAGTCAGTACGGTCAGCTGTTGGTCAATCTGTACGATGTGGACGTTCTAGAGGATCTGCAGGATGAAGACTAACTACGCCTGCCAAGTCGAACTTGGGCAGCGCACCTGGACGAACCCGCATAGATTTACAAGGATATATATTTATATGTGCCTGCTTTTGAACCCCCATCAAGGTCTTAAAATCTCATAATCATCATATCATACTCTGCCTAATCCACTCATGCACTTCTATGTTTTTGGCCAAGCAAATTCCAAATTTAGTATCTCAGCAGACAGGACAGACAGACCCGCCATCTGTGATAAGAAAACCAGAACTAAACCATGAATTTACGAAAGAAAACCGATATGGACAACCGAGAGAGATCTCAAATTTGCTGGTAATAAGTTGTGAAATGGGTTGAACGGAAATTAGCATTATTTTTAAGATATCTTAATATAAATACACATGATCTGTATGAAAAGCTTTTTAGACTTACTTTAAATATTGATAAAAATTCTCTTAAAGTCAAGCAAATGTAAACGAATTTTAATTTGGTTACACATTGGAAGCGTTATTTGTGTTATTAGTTTATTAGTATCGTAAATATAATTATAAGAAAATTTGTTACCTTGCCAGATCAATTCAGTATTTAAAAATAAAAATCAAATAGATAAACAACATTCAAACTTACTTGTTGAACTTCCAAAGTGCTAGCGTGGTGGCCAAAAACGGCAGCATGAAGTAAATGGAGAATATATGCGAGTCCACCTGATGGCCCAGAGACAACTCAATGGCATTGAAAAGCAAAATGGAGCCCGCGATTATCAAGGACTGTCCCACCTCCAAGCCATTGATTCCAGCCAGGATGTTGATGGCATTTGTGCAGAATACCGCCAACATGCCCATGAAGACGTAGTACAGAACACCTAAAAAAATTTAAATAAAATTATGATCATTAAGTGGCCACAGTCTTACGAGTAAATATGAGCTAATAGGAGGGGAAATTTAAAATAACAATAATTAAATAACATTTGAACTTCAAATATATTAAATAACTAAATCAATCCAATTTCTATAAGTTTTCTTATACATATATACAAAAATTTAAAAAATATTTTTGTAACTTCCGAGACTCAAATATTTTTGATTTAAAAAGCTGTGCAGTTTAAATTTAAATAGACAAATTTAAATGCTTAAATTGCACTTTAACAACTAAATTAAATATTAAGGGTCAAGATTCTCGTAGTTTTAACTACAAAAATCAAAGAGTTATCAAAGCAGATGGTATACAACAATTGGGAATGAATTATATGGAGAAATAACAGCCTACCGATATTCAAAGAGGTTCCAACTAAATCCCTCGCAAAGTTGGGCATGATAACCGTAGTAGAATTGTAGTTGACGTAGTACACCATAAGAAGGGGTAACGTGGCAATAGTGGGCAGGAGCAGCTTGTGCCGCCATCGGAGATCCAAAACGTCATCGGCGAATCCCAGAAAGATCATGCAGCAAATGGACAATAAGGCGGCAATCAATTCCACGAACTGTTAGGGCGATAAGAACCGATAAAAGTTGGTATTGTGATATTTTTCAATTAACCACTTACCTTATCGTGTGGAAATGTATCGGGTTTCCCGCCCGTAATCGCATCCGTGGCAGCCGCTTCATCGAAGGCAAAGGGAATGGGTATGAAGACGAACAGGGATACCAGAAACACACAGCCAATCAGAACGCCAAAGGATTCGGGTCTAGAAAAGGAAATGTGTCGTATTGGAAAATAAACCACATAGTAAGAAAATAAGTCCAACTTACACCTGTGGCTTGTCCTTTTTGCAGAGATCATTGCCAAAGAGATTGGCCTTGATGAACATGTCTCGGAATCTTGGAATCATCCGGACAGTCATACAGTAAGCAGCGCCCGAAATGGCTGCATTTATAGCGATGGCTACCGCCGACATGGCCGACCTTGAATGGGCCGCCTCCCCACTGCACTAATTTAATTAGCAGAGGCCCGGTTTGCCAAAAGTGCAGCCGTGTTCACGTGTTCCAAGTGCGATGAGTCAAAGAAAATTTGAGGAGCCCGTGGATAGCTACGCGATCACTCGATCATGGTGCAGAAAACAATTACGCCGACGAAAGTACACGCAATTACAATCTTCTGATAACAACAAACACAGCTGTTTGGCGGCAGTGTGACCGCGTGTGATTAATTAACTGTAACATTTTGTTGACTAAACAGCTGAGTTTTATTATTCAAAGGCGCGAAAATTTAAATTTTATTATGCTCAACTATAGTTTACAGATTTATTTGTACCCCTACTGGCGCTTACAGATTATATCAGACATAATAAGAAATAAGCCCATATCCTAGAAAACCAATTTATTGCAATTTAAACACATTCTTAGATGAAAAAGTCTTAACTTTATTTAATATCATTTATTACAGCACCTGGACCAAATCCATTATTACGCATATAAGTAAAAATCTCTATAACAAAATATAAGATGAGGGGAAATACTTGTTCTTTTCGAGCTTCCTTGGTTGAGTTTGGTTAGCTTATATTTATTTAAAGCGGTTATTTATCTCTGAAGAAGGGGAAAACCTTTTGCAGCTCCGCTTTCGATTTGCAGGCCTCTACCTGGGGCAGAGTTTCAACTAGATTAAGCAAATATATCTGCAGCTGCTGTCGCCTTTCCTCCACAAAGACCAGGTTCATGTTGCCGAAATGTTTCTTGGGCGGAAAATCCACTGAACTGACCACCGGGTGAGTCCGCAGCAGCGATTTGTGCAGCTTGTTAAACTCGCTGTAGCGCCTGAAAAGTGTCCAGTGCTCCAAACGCTGTCTCATCGTGATGTGAACTTCGTAAGTGTAGTGGGAACCGGATCGCGCCGTCTTGGTGAGCTTCACGTGTGGGATGGTGATCAGGAAATTAGAGCAGAGCGATGAGCTGGGATCAATGCCGGTCTCCTCAAACTGTTTGGTGAGCCTTCGGATAAGCAGGCGATTCTGCAGATTTAGTTCCGCAACCCGTGTTTCCAGTAAAGCGCACCTTTCGTTAAGCTCGTTCACCTGCTCCTCCAACGCCGCCTGCTGCAGGCTGTTGGCAACGCAGTTCGCCGAGGAGGAGGACTTGCTCCACTGCGAAGACGTATCGCTGCGGTCTTCAAAAAGATCTGCCTCCGCAGCAGCTGCCTGAGGATAAAACTCGGGCAACGGTGTCTTAAGAAATTCTAACTCAGGTTCGATGGGATCAAAGGGACCCACACTGATCTCTTCCACCGGCTTAGCGAGCTCCTTTTCAATGGCTTCCTTGGAGATCAGTTCCTGCACTTCAACGGCTTCGATGGGCTTCAGGACACTAAGTAGATCTTCCATTGAACTGGCTCCTTGAATGGGCCGCTCCACGGCAGTGCACGTACGTCTACTTTGGCGCCCCGACACAGGCACAGGACTTGGGGCGTAAATAATAGGCTCCTCCTTAACGGGAACAGTTGGCGCCGATCTTTTCGGTGCATTAAGCTCCGTGCAGTCCACATTGAGGGCGAAGAGAACATCCCGAAGGGAGTCTATAATCTCAGGCAGCTTTTTTGCGGCCTCATCGTTGAGCAGCAGCGACCAGGGTGTGTAGTAACGATGCAGCTGCCCCTCGTCGCTCAGCCAGGTAAGAATGTGGCTATGGAGTCGCTTTTCGTTCAGTGAGGCGCGAATAAAGGCACGACCTCGGCCCAAATTGGTCCAGATCTGCCTAAGCTCCAGGTACCGCTGGCGTTCGTGGGGCGTCAAATGCGTCTGGCAAAACTCCCAGAAAGTGGCGTCATTGTTGTTTCCGCCCCCACCCGCATTTCCGGACACTATATCTTGCATGTTCTGGATGAAACCTGCGGCGCTGAAGGAAGATCCACTTGCCGATTGCCTCAGTCCATAGGTAAGCAGCTCCTCGAGCGATTCACAGAGTTCCTGGACTGACTCATCGCGTTCCGTGGCCAATTCTTTTCCACTGAACTTTAGCGAGATTCGCTGCGCACTTTCCTGGAGACGACGAAAGATGTCTTCGCGCCGTTGCCCAAAGGTGCTGCCCCCCAGTTGGCTACGGGCATTCCGAAAGGCAGGATCCGGGGGAAACGAGCTGGCTGCATTCTCAGGCATTCTTTGTGGCTATTATTTAACTTATCTATTGTTTTTTCTTCTCATTTTTGACAACAAACCAGTCGAACAGTGTTGATAAACGGAGATAGCGCACAGTCAAATGGGCACGTTCAGCTAGTACTACTTCGATTAAATTTAAAAATATTTTTTGAAATATAGAATTAGTTGTATACAAATTTTATATATATCTTTGGTAATTGTTTACAAGTGCGGTGCACGGTAAATACAGCTTAAAAAAATAAAGTAAAAATATGGAATCGAGGTAATTGTTTACAAGTGCGGTGCACGGTAAATACAGCTAAAAAATAAAGTAAAATATGGAATCGATGTGTTTTTCTAAAACTCGAAATCCGTTGGCGGAGATTAAAATTGCACCGTTTTTGTTATTAACAATTAAAGATTCGATTTGTAGTACAAATTCGGGTCTGAGTGACCGTATTTGCAATAATCCGCGACCAGACGACTGCAATAATCGGCACATCACATGCAAATACGGTCACTCAGACCCGAATTTGTACTACAAATCGAATCTTTAATTGTTAATAACAAAAAAACGGTGCAAAATTTTTAATCTCCGCCAACGGATTTCGAAGTTTTAGAAAAAACACATCGATTCCATATTTTACTTTATTTTTTTAAGCTGTATTTACCGTGCACCGCACTTGTAAACAATTACCAAAGTAAGTTAGAAATCGACTCTTATCGATAGAATCGGTAATCACGGTTTCCTATTGAAAGACGAACGCGCAAGTTCTTGTAGCCCTGGCTTTTAGCGGGCAAAAGAATGCCAAAACGCTGATGTTCGACTGTGCAACCCTGTCACTTAATTGCCATCCCTGCTCGGCGCAAATGCAAAAGTAGTTGGCTCGCAAAAAACTGTCTAATACCTCGGTAAACGCATTAAAAAAGCCATAAAATGACCAGTAACAAGTGCTAGCAGCAATCGAAGCTTTAGCCAAACGCGTAAAACTCGCATAAAAGTGTAAGTTTGCGGCCAAAGGGAGCAGCATCGTGCATTTTCTTTTGTGTTCGCGTTCGCTGTCTGCGCAAACGCTTCATTGACTTTTCGAGCGAGTGATGTGCCTCGCACCTACGTTTATTTTAAAATGTAGATTGTTCGGATGGTTTCTATCGTTGTTCAATATGTCTTTGATTTCAATTTCCAAGTGGCGACTGCTGGAAGACGATTTCCCAAAATGCAGCCCGCGGCGGAAGTCTTTAATCACATTTCCCAGCCCCTTTTCGCTGTGCGCAGCAGCTGCGTGCAAAAAGTCACAAAAAACGAAGGAAACAAACAAAACGCAGAACGAAAAGCGCTGGGAATCGGTCAGGAATTCCGGCCCATATGGCCGGGACTTTTGCCGGGACAATAAGCTTTAACTATAAATTGAAGCAACCAAAACATTTCGAATTGCATTTTTACCTGTCTCAAAGTTGTTTATTAGTTCTTACCTATTGGAATGACAACGAAATAATAAATAAATGCCTAACTGTTGCTCATATCCCATACATCTTCTCTAGGGAGAACACTAAACAAAGTAGAAACGCCAATATCGAATTAATATTCAGAATCCCACATTTGTCCTACAATTTTAAGCAAATGTATAAATGTATAAATTGAATAAAAATTCACATGAATTAGAATCACCTCACAAGTAAATTTTCAAAAATTAAATAAAAAAAATGAATAAATCATATATAGACAAGAATAGGCTACTTCTTTATACAAAAGGTTTATTAAACCATACATGCATTATAAAAACTTTTGATGAAAACACTATAAAAGTAAAAAACAAAATGCACTTATTCTACCTAATTTTATTTCAGGGGTTGTTCCAATGCGAGTTGACAAGCAAGAAAGTCGGTTTGAAAAGAATATTTTATGAAGAGCATCCCAGAAATTAACCTATAAATGTGTTTACAATACTGATCAAGTCTGCTCATAATGAATCCGGCCGAACTGCGCATGATGTGGATGAGTAGTCAGTACAACTCGGAGCGCATTTCACTGGAGGATGCAGCCAATCTTCTGGGACACCCCACTGTCGGACTCTCCGTTATGGAGGACCTCTCCGCCCATCAGCCCACTTTGGTGAGTTTGATACGGTTTGATTTAAAAGCCAATCTCTCAATACGAAGACTAGTAAATATAATTAACTATCTGCTTTTAAACTGTCACCGAGTCTGAATAAATCACTTTTCATTATATTTGATAGTCCTCGGAGTCGCAAGCAAACCCAAATTCCTTAGGTTTAAACATGTACTCTTTTTGGGGATTGGCCCATTTTCCAAACGATCATTTTTGTCTCTCTCAGTTGAAAAATTGGAATTCGTTTACTTATTTCTTCTACTTTCTTTTCTATGATTTATGTATTGGTTACAATTTAAAACTCGACACAAAAACACACAAAACCAATGATCGAACCTCGAACCATGAACAACCTCCAATCTCCAAACTCCGAACACCCTCCCTGCTCAACAAAAGGAAATGAATCCAATGATGAGCCTGATGGGGGGCGATTTCACTGGTCAGGCGGCGGCGGCGGCTGCGGCGCTGGGTGTCCAGCCGGGCACCCTGATAGCAACCAACTCGAACAACCTGTATGGATTCGCGCACATGGGCGGTCTTCAGCAGCAACTGCTTCAGCAGTCGGCGGCAGCGGCGGTTTTCCAGAACTATGCCATAGATGGCGATGTCGACACCGGAATGGTGGGCATGGCCGGTCACGACGGATCCCTAATGGGCGTCGGCGTCGGCGCAGTTGAGCCGGTTGTGGACGATGACGAGCAGGTGTACGGTCAAATGGACGATGGCTACGACGATGGCGGATCGGGAATGGAGCCCAAGCAGGAGATCATTAATATTGACGACTTTGTGATGATGAACGAGGACAATAACTCGTACGACGGCACCGAATTTCTGACCTCCTCGGACAAGGATATATCGCAGTCATCGTCCTCCTGCATGACCCAGTTGCCCGGAGGCTTGGGTGTTCCGGGAGTGGAGCACGATCTGCTAGTACCACTGGCCGACGGCCTGCTGCACCACAAGCTGTTGGGCACCACCTTGGCACCTGCGATGGCCACTCTGAATGGAAATGCCTTCGGCAACATAATGGTCAGTTCGGAAGCACCCTGTCCCAGCTCCAGCAAGCAAATGCAGCGCACCTACAGCCTGGCCAAGGGAGCCAATGCCACCGCAACCACCGCCAGCTGCAGCGCCTCTACCTCCTCCGCGATGCGTTCCCAGCGCAAGACGCGCAAGATCGAGCCAGTGAACAGGCCGGGACTGGTGCTGAAGACACCCATCGCCTACAAGGGCAACATTGACCCATCGGTGATCCCCATACAGAAAGACGGCATGGGTAAGGTTGCTCCACAATAGGGTGGGTCGATTTTAAAAACAGCCTGATGAGGCGGAAAATATTTAAAATAAAAACCTTTTCTTATTAAACATCAGTTCATATAATCAGTTAAATCATCTAAATAACTATCTTTCTTTCTTAATATCGTAATGCAAACTTTAACTTTTTAATAACATCTATTGAATTAAAGTTCTTCAAAATTCAGTATGACCAGTTTTCAAAAATATAACAATGCTTAAATTATTTTTTGAAATTTAAAAAAACGAGACCAGTTATATATTTTAGAGGTGACTAAATTTTGACAAATAAGTATTAATCGACTCACTCTCAGCCATAATAATTTCCAAGCTTTTTATGTGTGATTACTATTATTTGATTTAAATATTTTGAATGCTCGATTCAAGTTTTCAATTTTTGCAAGAATTTGGGTTTGTAAGGCAGGATAGCAGTAAGTCTGAGTAGGAAATGAAATTTATACAAATTGAATATCTTCTCACAGTCTCCTCTTTTCTCCGCAGCTGTCTGTAAGCGTTGTGGAGCAATTGGAGTGAAGCACACATTCTACACGAAATCGCGACGGTTCTGTAGCATGGCCTGTGCCCGCGGCGAACTGTATTCGTTGGTACTCAATAGCAAAATGGAGGGCGGCCAGGCAAGCACCAGCTCCCCAGTTCCCGGATCAAGTTCGGAGGCCAACGAAGAGCTTATACCGGGCGACCAGCAGCAGCAGTCCCCACACACGGATATCGAGCTTGATTTGCAGGCAGCGCACATTAAGAATGCCAACTACCGCTTCCGCATCACGGACCAATCGAAGATTACCCAGTTGAATAGCTTTGGCGAGCCAATGTCCCTCGGTGGCGATGCCGCCGCCAACAATGTACAAATGGCCGCGGACGAAACGATTGCTGCCCTCAACGGCGGAGCGGTGGGAAATGCCTCAGCTCCGGGAGGCGCAGGGGAAGGAGCAGCCACACCGAACTCTTATCTGAGTGCGGCTCCGACGCCCAAAGCCCTGCGACTCTTTAAGGACGTTTACCCGCAGGATGACCTGCCGCAAATACCCAAATACGAGCGTCTCCCTGTTCCGTGTCCGCAAATGGAGAAGATCATCAGCATACGGCGGCGGATGTACGATCCCACACACTCGTACGATTGGCTACCTCGACTTAGCAAGGAGAACTTCAATGCGGCACCTGTGACCTGTTTTCCACATGCACCCGGCTGCGAAGTATGGGACAATCTGGGCGTGGGCATGAAGGTGGAGGTGGAGAACACCGACTGCGACAGCATCGAGGTGATACAGCCGGGACAGACGCCCACCTCGTTCTGGGTGGCCACCATCCTGGAGATCAAGGGCTACAAGGCCTTGATGAGCTACGAGGGCTTCGATACGGACTCGCACGACTTCTGGGTCAATCTCTGCAACGCCGAGGTGCACTCGGTGGGGTGGTGCGCCACCCGGGGCAAGCCCCTAATCCCGCCCCGCACCATCGAGCACAAGTACAAGGACTGGAAGGACTTCCTGGTCGGCCGGTTGTCCGGAGCCCGCACTCTTCCCTCCAACTTTTACAACAAAATCAACGACAGCCTGCAGTCGCGCTTCCGCCTTGGCCTGAATCTCGAGTGCGTGGACAAGGATCGCATTTCGCAGGTGCGCCTGGCCACCGTCACCAAGATCGTTGGCAAGCGCCTCTTCCTGCGCTACTTTGACTCGGACGACGGCTTCTGGTGTCACGAGGACTCGCCCATCATCCATCCAGTGGGCTGGGCAACCACAGTGGGCCATAATCTGGCCGCCCCGCAGGACTATTTGGAGCGTATGTTGGGTGAGTAAGCGAAATGTTCATTAATTAGGAAAGTTAATGCACAATAACACATTACTTTGCTTAAATTTCTTTCTTTGCTTCTCCTTAAACTGCTTGTTTATTTGCATTCCTTTTTATTTCCAGCTGGACGCGAAGCCATGATCGAGGTTCATGAGGACGACGCCACCATTGAGTTGTTCAAGATGAACTTCACCTTCGACGAGTACTACAGCGATGGCAAGACCAATAGCTTTGTGGAGGGCATGAAGCTGGAGGCGGTGGATCCACTCAATCTCTCGTCTATCTGCCCAGCCACTGTGATGGCGGTTCTCAAGTTTGGATACATGATGATACGCATTGATTCCTATCAGCCGGATGCCTCAGGGTCGGATTGGTGAGCTTTTGGCCCTGAAGCCTACGAAACCCATTAACAATCGTTTTACCTTTTTAGGTTCTGCTACCATGAAAAGAGTCCGTGTATCTTCCCAGCTGGATTTTGCTCGGCTAACAGCATTTCGGTGACCCCGCCGAATGGCTATGATTCGCGTACATTCACCTGGGAGGGCTACCTGCGCGACACAGGAGCATTAGCCGCCGGCCAGCACCTGTTCCACCGAATAGTGCCTGACCACGGATTCGAGGTTGGCATGAGTCTGGAATGTGCAGATCTCATGGATCCACGGCTCGTTTGCGTGGCCACGGTGGCGCGAGTTGTGGGCCGACTCCTCAAGGTTCACTTCGATGGATGGACGGACGAGTACGACCAGTGGTTAGATTGTGAATCGGCCGATATATATCCAGTCGGTTGGTGTGTTTTGGTTAACCACAAGCTGGAGGGACCGCCGCGGGTTGCCCAGCAGCAGGCAGCCAAACCAGCGCCAAAGGCAAAGATACAGCGCAAGAGGAAGCCCAAGAAAGGCGCCGTTGGAGGAAAGACACCAACCGACAACAGCACTCAGCCGGGTGAGTCTCTGAAATTAGGATATGTTTCTAAAGTGCAGTCATTAATATCCAATTGTTTAATATACTAGTCAAATCCCGTACAATCGCGCTCAAGACCACGCCACATTTGCCGAAACTAAGCATTAAACTTGAGCTAAAGCCGGAGCATCACAATGCTGCCTTCTACGAGAACAATCAGCCCGAGGAAGAGGGCGAGGAGGAGGATCCTGACGCGGACGGCGACGGCGACGGGAGCACCAGTCACATCTCCGAGCAGTCCACCACACAGTCCTCCAGTGATCAGATCACAGGATCATGCAGTGGAAGCGGATCCGCCTCGCTGGTAACTCTCGCCACGGGCAGCAACAAAATGGTAATGAAATCTTCCACTACTAAATCTCCTGCGCCACCAACTGTGGGCCGCAAAGCCACTAGTTACATTGCGGTGAGTACTTAGCGGAATAATAGTGCGTAGAGTCATCCATCTAGAGCCATCTCGCCTGCTCGCCTGCCCGCCAACTTGCCCGCCTGAAGTCCAGCTCATGCATCTAAACGAAAAGTCCAGTGTCACAGTGGTTTTAAAGCAGCATAGATGCCGACTAACGATTTAAATATTTTTAAAACGTTTACATATTAAAGTAATAATTTAAAAAATTCTCATGAGTTTAAGAAACTTAAAGGTCCAAGCCAAGATTTTGCTTTTGATCCAAATTTTTACGACGGTTCTTAATCCAAAATCACTGTGTCATGGCTCCGTAACACTTTTGCATAAATGTATATAACCGAAATCGTTCATAAAAAGCGACAATTTGTATATAATTTAATTTACGCACTGTTATTTTTGGTACTCGCAACAGCCACAAACCACCCACAAACTACCCACATCCAACCGTCCCATCATCCAGCCTTTACCCAAAACTCATCCACACCTTTAAACAATTTTTATATTTCCGTCTGTAATGTTTGCCCCCACAGAACTCCTCTGCGACGAATAACAAGTACATTCCCCGTCTGGCCGACATCGATTCGAATGAGGCGACCTTGGAGCTGGTACCAGATTCGTGGAATGTATACGATGTGTCCCAGTTCCTGCGGGTCAACGATTGCACAGCCCACTGCGACACCTTCAGCCGGAACAAGATTGACGGGAAGCGACTGCTACAACTGACAAAGGACGACATAATGCCCTTGCTGGGCATGAAGGTCGGTCCGGCGCTGAAAATCTCCGACCTCATTGCCCAGCTGAAGTGCAAGGTTAATCCGGGTAGGGCAAGATCCCACAAGACCAACAAATTGCCGTTTTTATAGTGCGCGGACTTCAACTTTTTCAAAGCGAAACGAAAGTTATCACCGATAAACACACACTTTTATACGTGTATACTAGTGCTTATGCATATAGGATATATATAACGAATATATATACATATTGAAGTATTTTGTTAGCACTGGAAATCGAAACACAAACGTTGCCTAGAATGGATCAAGCATCCATGATACAATTGTATAACTAACTCAAGTCTCACTGCGCGTTATTTTATACCGATTATATCGTAAATTGTAGACCGTAGCTGTACGCTCATGTTATATCAGTCAGAGTTCTATATATATCAACATTTGTATAGAGATCATTGAATTGGGGACAATTACATTTTTTTAAATCACGCATATTTTTATAAAAGTAAGAGTAAAGAAAAACGATGCATACAACACATATTTATCTAGATATATATGGGGATTGTATAGCATAAGTTTGTTATTTGTACATAAGTTCCGTCGCCTACCTTAGGCCCCACGATTGTCATATTTCATATAAATAGAACCAAGCACAAGCAAGCAACCCAGGAAATTAGTCAGAAAGTCTAGCATACATCGTTCAGTCGGTAAGCCGGGCGATTCGAAGTCGCTCCTAGTCTGTAAGGTCCCCGATATCCAGCCAGCGCGCTCTCTCCTTCTTTTATTTTTTCCGGAATCGCACGCCTCTGCAGGGAGAGCATTAATGGTATAAGGCATACTTTTGAAGAAGGCAACCTTAATGATAGAATATGTATCTAGATAACCTTAAGATACCAGCTAATGTCAAAATACTTAATAAAACCGAATTCAAAATTGCAAGTATTGAAATATATAAACTTTTTTTCTTTGGGTGGGTTTATTTCAGGAAATACATTTTGCTTTGCTATAAGAGAAGTAACAAGTCTCCCATATATTTGTTTACTTTATATAAAAAAAATTGCAAGAAATTTATTAAATATATTCGAAACCCATACTTTTCACAAAATTAGTTGTCCAACTAATCCTACCAAAAAAGTCATCCAAGATTACTGAAAGGCTTAATGTTTTCTCTTTCTGTTAAATAAAACTCCAAATGTTCAAATTGTTTTTTTAGATTGGTTTATATTCTGGATATTAATACACTTTTATGACATATAGACTAAATTCTTACTGCTAAGTTTACACTGCGTTTGGTGGCTAATATTTATGCTAGTTTTTGATTAAAAATTTCAAACACACACACCAAATGTCGAACTTGTATTCATATCTGTATAACCACATATATATGGTGATCAAATCTGATGTGGGTGCGAGTGTATTAATGTTGGAAAATAGTTGCCATAACCGATAGAATTTTTAAAAGGAAGAAGTAACATAAAAAGTAGAAAAAGGATCATGTACATGTACAAATTAGGGCCGAGTGCTTATATACAGAGTGTTTGTGTCTAGTTCTTAACTATATCTAGGTGTTGTTTTTTCTGGTTGTAGTCGCATAGTTATGAATATTTTAAGATTAAACCTAAATTTAAAGTTGAGGCGCTGCTTCTCTTTGAATACAAAGAAACCCTGCTTTCTAGAGGATTTTTCAACTTTCCGCTTATCTCTTCTCGTTTATCTAAAAAGGCCTCAATAACAACTTAATATAATAAAATACTAACATTTACAGCTTTTCGTTTTGAAGAGAGATAATAAATAAACTAAGAGCTTTTTCAAAAATATCAAAACGGAACGGGCGTTTGGGGTAGGCGTAAAGCAACGAGGGTCAGATGTCTAAAGCCTCGAGTTGAGTTAACTAGTGGTCCTAGTTCCGGATTCATTTCTTCAGAAATTTCGTGAAACCGGAATCGATAGCTATTTACTTTTAAAACAAGCATAAACAAAGGGTAGTATCAATTCTGATTTCACTACACTTCCTGGTAATGAAATTGGTAACATGGCCCTCTGCTTCGATTTCGGAGCTTCTCTGGACATTGTTTCTGTTGTGTGTTTACAAGTTGGTTTAAATTGCATTTAAAATAAATACTACACTATTAGCAGGGCTAAAATTACGCTTAAACGGCTGATTACTGTCCTGGAGGCGGACTTTCTTCTGATCTTTCTATTTGGATCAACTGCTCGTTTTCCTCGCTAGGTCGCCGCTTCTTCAGTGGCGGAGTTTCGGTCTCAACTGCGGGTGCTGGATTCGCTGCTGGCTGCTGTTGTTCTGTAATGCAGGCGGGTCTTTTCTGGCCGGGACTGTTGTTGGAGCAAGCTTCGTCGGCTCCATTTACTATCTCGGTGACTATGTGTGCCTCCAGCGAGGGCGGGAGCAATGGTGACAATGGAACGGCGTTCAAATCGCAGGCTTCTTCATCTTCATCCTCATAGTTTGGCGCCAAATTGCTGAAGAGATCACCAGTTCTGGTACTTCCTCTTACTTCTTCCTCATCGTCGTCTTCGCTGTAGTCGTTGTCCCAAAAGACCTGAGCTCCTGGGAACACATACGAATAGTTGTTGGTATGCGAATAGAATGTTCCAGGCTGCAGGCGTTCAGCTGCCGTTTGTCGCTTTCCTCGTTGCTGTGGAATGGGCGTCAGACTGGGCGCTACTGATTTGGTCTCCTGAACCAGATTGCTGGGACGCACATAGCTGGGGGTTGCTTCGATGTCGCACTGCTCGATGCCGCTATCCTTGGAGGAATCTATGGAAAGATGTCGATAGCTCTCTACCGTAGTGACCGGTCCTCCGGCTGCCAAACGGTCACAGCTAAGGGCGGTAGTCTCGTTCAGCTCCACTAGTATGTCCGTTTTAATGCGTTCGATAGCTGCCGCCTCAGCGGCAGTGGATCGTTTTCCACTCGTAAATGTTGAGGATTCAAAGCCGCTATCCGAGCAGGTGCCAGCTGAGCCCAGAATGTAGTCGGCGGAACCGTTTGACTTCAGGGATTGTGTATCCGTGTCTAGTTGCGATTGCCGCTCGCTTTCCGAGCTGCAGTGGCGATGATGGTGAAGGTGATGGCTAACATGATAATGGTGATGATGGTGGTCGGGGGCAACAGCTCCTTACTCTCGTCGAGCACCGACTCATCGCAGCACAGCTGCCGCCAGCAGTCATCGTCGCCCGAAAGCCTGTGACAAATCTGGTTGATTATAACATCGGAGTCGCCCAGCAGCTCCACGTCGAACTTCAGATGATGCAATTGCTCGCGATTGATGAGGATCTGCGGCACCGTGGCCGGGATGCTGCTGGGAATGTGGGCAACAGGTCGGACCTTTAAAGAAGAGCCGATAACGATCAGCAGATCGCAAGCGTCCTTGTCGGTGGCCATAACTGTGTGGTATTCATCCGGCAGACCTGTGGCAATAGGAAAAGCAAACGCAGGGGTGCACCAATTAGAGGCGATTACGAAATATTTTTCTTATTGTGCATTGCATTTAAAATCTGAGAAAAATTGGTTAGTTCTGAAATAAACGCTCTGATAGTTGAGTTGGAAGCTTTTGCTTTTATTATAGTTAAAGAGGTTGCAATGTTTAGAAGACACAAATTATATAAACGACACCTACCCTCGCCGAAGAAGACAATGTCCGGTTTCATGATGCCGTTCTCCACCAGCTGGCGCAGTTCCTCCTCGGTAACAGCCACCGAGGCGTCCACACTCTGCTCCTTATTGGGCTGGCACTGCGGACACACTGGAATCCGCTGGGCAAAGATGTCCGCTCGCAGGGCATCGGCATTGCATTTGAACCGGCATTTAGTGCACGAGGCCGTCGAGAAGGAGCCGTGGCACTCGATCACCCGCTGGATGCCTGCCACCCGCTCCAGGGTGTCGATGTTCTGCGTGTAGTTTCGCAACAGCTTTCCCTTGGTCTCCAGCATTTTGATAAATCGATGGCAGGGCGAGGGCTGGAACTCCCGGGATAAATCTCGCGGGCGAATTTGTAGAACGGGCGCGGATCTCGCTTGAAGTAGTTGATATCAAACATGGCCTGCGGATCGGGCAGATCGGGAAAATCGTGAGCCAAACGTGCATATATCCCGTTAGTGGAGCGGAAATCCGGGATGCCACAGGACACGGATACCCCTGCTCCCGTAAGGACAATGATCTTCTGCGACTTTTTGACCAAATTGATGACATCGTCGAAGGTGTTTACCGTCGCCAGCTTGTTGCGCCGCTTGGGCTCGTTCAACAGGTGTGCCAGGTAGTCCCAAAGCACGGAGTCATCGGTGTCAGCGGCCAATCCGGTGGCAAAATGCGGCATTATGCTGGCAATCACCTGGCGGGGCACACGGCCTGTGTAGAACTCCCTTTGCAGCCAGCGGAGCTTCCAGTCAGGACCCACCGAGGATGAGCAATCTGAGCTAGAATCTTCGTCCTCGTTACTCGTCCCAGTGACCTCCCTCCTCATCGTCGTCCTCATCTTCATCATCTTCTTCTTCCTCCTCGTCCTCCTCTTCATCACCGCCCGCCGGCTTTTTCTGATTTTTGGTGTCTTGCTCCAAATTGGCGCCATTTTCTTGTTCTTCCCTGGCAGCCAATGTTTTTGTTTTGATTTCACAATTTGCTTTGCCAACCAATTCGCTGCTTTCGGTTGTTGTCGCCTCCTCTGCTTCTACTTCGGTCGACGTTGCGGCCAGAATTTCGGCGCCAAAATCAAATTTTGCTGGCGGATAGAACTGCGGAGCATCGGGCACTTGGTCGCCCAGATCCTTGGCCTTAATGTGGCCCAGGCGAATTTCTTCGTAGTTTTCCATCATTTTTCCGCCCAACACAGACGCGCGCGCACAAGCCAACGCACAAACACAGACTCACGGAGAGAAAACTCTCGTCGGTGCTGCTGCTGCTTCTTCTTGTTGCGCGAGTCTTTCCTCGGTCTCTCCGTTTTGCGCTCTCGCCTCGTCCGCTTCCTCCGCTCTTTCGTTGGTACACACAAAATTTTTACGTCGTCAGCTTCGCACCCATTTGGCTTGATTGAAAAAATTCTCCAGCGATCGTTTAGCAAAGATTTTTTGACCAAACTCGACTTTATTTTACGTATTTGCACGAAACTTAAATTTAAAAAAATTTTCACTCCATTTGGTGGCTATTTTTTCGTAATTTTCGAGCGTAGTTTCTGGAAAATTTTCCGATGAAAAAGCAAGATGGCACACGTAGCTGCGCCTGTGTGTGTATGTGCGCTTGTGAAGTATCTCGGGTGGGACCCTGAATTGCCGTTGCCAAGGGTCTAACGCGTTTTCGCATGGAAAGTGCCGTCAGCGTGACTCATTTTGTGGGTATTTCTGGTATTTTTCGGGATTTTTGGCTGGCATTACGTGACGATACAGTAAGCACTTGGAGTAGAATAACCAACTGCATTGCGTTGTATTTCACAATAGTGAAAAATTGCCGTAATGATGTCAATTTTGCAATTAGTTTTTTAAAATTAAAGTGCTCAGCAGCTTTTTTGAGCTTCTATGACATCAATTGTTCCCGTTAATTAAGTTAATATAAATAGAGGTTGATTCCAAAAGTCCTTAATGGGTTTATTAATTACATTTTTATGCGAAAATGAATTCTATTCATTCTGCCACCACTAAATTATATATTTGAAGTTCACAAACTGTACTTCCAGAACAATCTTTCAACGCCAGTACCCACTGTAAGTCTTTTTCAGTATTTTCGTTGGTACTTTCACTATAAATTACGGTCTATGGCCGCACTTGGCCACACTAGTTACCCAATATGACTTGAAAAGATTGTCATAGATACATTAATAAATAAATAAAAACCTCGTACACTCACAATGTACTGCTATTTTAGTTTGTAGGGGCTAGGCTGCAATAGGAAATGGACAACTTAAATTTATACGAAGTTCTTGGGGTGGCTCCGGATGCAAGCGACGAGGAAATAAAGAAGGTAACTGCACCAATTTGATTTGCTGCTAAATAGTTTTGATTTCCTTTTTGTAAACGCTCCAATAGAACTACCGCAAATTGGCCAAAGAGTTCCATCCAGACAAAAATCCCGATGCGGGCGACAAGTTCAAGGAGATTTCCTTTGCCTACGAGGTGCTATCCGATCCCGAGAAACGGAGGATCTACGACCGTTACGGACTGAAGGGCCTTCAGGAAGGCGCCGAAGGATTTTCGGATGCGTCCGAGTTTTTTGCCCAGTGGTTCCCCTTCGATCGCGTTTCGCCCGGTGGTCGGGGCAGGCGCGAGGGCAAAGTGGTGGTCAAGGTGGAGCTGACACTGGAGGAGATCTATGTTGGCGGTATGAAGAAGAAGTTAGAGTATAAGCGACAGAAGCTCTGTTCCAAGTGTAACGGCGACGGCGGGCCAATGGATGCGCGCGAAAGCTGCGAGACCTGTGGCGGAGCGGGACGAGCGGCCGCTTTTACCTTCATGGGTCTTAGTGCCTTCGATGCGGTATGTAAATGTTTTTTAACCACGGTGTTGCTAGAAAAAATCAGATTTTAATAACAAATGGGTTCCATTACTTACAAAAAAAAAAAAAAAAATAGAATCGGAAGTGCAGTAATAATATATATTTTTAAAAGGCTTTAGAGCCAAACCTCAAACTATGGTACAGATTTATACATATTAAATTCTCAATAATAATAGCTAGTTATCTTGGAGGGATGCGTGTTATGTTCCTCCGGATCAGTCATCAGTCAATGAGAAGAAACTACTTCAATATAGAAATAGTTAAGCGATGGCGAGTGTTGTTTAAATATAGGTTACTATATTATACATTCATTTGTTCCTGAGTACCTGGTGCATAATGATAACTTCGCTTTCCCAGTTAAGCATAACTAAAGCAAAGGGGAAATTATTTGGATTGAGGAGTCTGGTGAAGAAAGAAAAATGTGGTTAAATGTTACAAATAAAATAAATTATAATAAATAGGCATATAGTTTGTTTAAAAACTTTAAGTTCGTGATACTCATAATTCGAGATATTTCTTGAGATGTGTAAATGTATGTGCGAAATACGTTGGACATTTTTTTATTTTTTTATTTATTTATTGGAATAACTATCCCTTGTGGTGCTCAGTATAAAATAATCATTAAAATCATAAAGATATTAAGGTTATCGGCCAAAATACATAAGTTAGATGATGGGGGAGTTTTTGTTACTTGTTTGTTTTAAAATCTAATCAGTTTGTTCAAAATTTCTTTAAGGCTTTAAAGTTACTTTATCTTTAAAGGAAAACAATTAAATGTCTCTGTATAGAAATTATTTGAAATAACACCTAAATGTAATTGGTAATGTTTTGTTTCAGACCTGTCCGGCCTGCGATGGAAGGGGTTTTACCATCAAGGACGACAAGAAGTGCAAGCCCTGTCAGGGCAGCGGCTTTGTGGAGGAAAAGATGAAGCGAGACCTGATTGTGGAGCGGGGAGCACCACATATGCTGAAGGTGCCCTTCGCCAACGAGGGCCATCAGATGCGGGGCGGCGAGTTCGGCGACTTGATTGTGATCATCGCCCAGCTGGAACACCCGCTTTTTCAGCGGCGCCACGCTAACTTGTACATGCGGGACCTGGAGATCAACATCACGGAGGCGTTGTGCGGCTATGCGCATTGCTTCAAGCACCTGGACGGACGAAACGTCTGCTTGCGCACCCAGCCGGGCGAAGTTCTGCAGCACAACCACATCAAGGTGGTGCGGGGTTGTGGAATGCCGGTTTTCAACAAGGCCACCGACAGCGGCGATCTCTACATGAAGTTTAAGGTGAACTTTCCGGACAACGACTTTGCCACGGCTCCGCAGCTGGCCATGCTGGAGGATCTTCTGCCGCCCAGGCAGCTGGTGGTAATTCCGAAGGAAGCCGAGGAAGTCCAGATGATGGACTACAAGCCACAGCCCCGGCAGCAGGAGGACGACGATGGACAGTCGCCGCACTTCGAGGGCGTCCAGTGCCAGACGGCTTAGTGCCTGTGGTTGTGGCTCCTGCAGGCCCGGTTTCTCTGCCTCGATCTCTGGCTAATCCTGGGCACATTCGGCGTAGATGAAGTCTGCTTCTTGGTGCCGCTGTTCGTCTTAATATGCATAGTATTATTTTTCATACAGGAATGTTTGCTGTGAAAAGCGCGTGATCTAAATTCGTAGTATACGTAATTATTCGAGACTAAAGCTTAGCTGATCTGATTTTCAATAGGAGTGTCATCAATACATTAGCCACGCTAAATTAGCTGCTATCACTATTAACTAAATATGTATTGTTATCTTTTTTTTTTTGGCCTGACTCTAGCCCTTAACACCCCTACCTAACAATAAACAAAGGCATATTATCTCACCGTAGAAGCGTTAAATCTTCTGTTATATAATGTCTTTGTAATCGGTACTATCATGTTTTATTGTTTTTAAAAATACAAATTAAAGTAAACCAGAGGTTATAAACATAAAGACGAATCGCGGTTTTAGGGTTTATTTAATTTGGCGTTAGTATAAAATCATTGAAGTAGTTGCGTACCCAAACCTGTAAGTAAATGTAAACGATTTCTGAAACCTAATCACTTTCTGTAGACTCCTGAAAGTCATCGCTGGATGTCGCTTCGTCTGATAGACCACCGCGTTCGGACAAGGATGTTGGCTTGGTCAAATCCAGGGGAGACTCCTCGGTCTGTTGTTTGGCAATCGATGGATTGTACGCATAACATGGAAATGTTGTTTAATAAGTTTACTTCTCCGAGAGAGAATCGCTTTTACCACCCACCGATGAATCCTCTTTGGGCTTGCTCAAGTCTAGGGCTGAACTCAAAGGAGCTCTGTCCAACATTTCGATGGGGATCACACTTGCGGCCATGGTCTCCTCCGTCTCCATTGGTTGGTTCTCGACCAGCTTTTCCGGCGGCATCACGATCATTTCACCTGTGCGCATGCCCTTGGAGTCGGCCAACTGATCAGCAGTCACCTTCATCATGGTCAGATACTGATTGTACTTGGCATAGTTGCGTCTCCCGGTCTCATCGTTCATCAGCACCTGGGCCTGATTGTGTGACCTATCCCGGATGGCCTTCAAGCGGATGTGCTTGGTGATGTCCCAGCGCCAGTTGGAGCGATAGGCACATAAAGAGCACTCGAAGGGTTTTCTATTCAGATGACCCACGATGTGGACATGGAAACGCGAGGGGGTCGCTGCCCAAAAAGTGCAATGTGGGCACTTAAACACCTTCTTCAACGGCGCCGAGTCATCTGTTCCCTCCGGCAAAATCTCAGTGACCTGCAATTAAAGGTAGGGGGATATTTATTTGATTTATTAATTTAGTTTAAATTAAATGATTCAGTAAATGATGAATATCTTTTTCCGATATAAATTGTTCTTTGGAAGAAAATTATTATCTTACCTCTCCGTAGCCAGGAGCCATTTCCACGCCGCAATAGCTGAGATCAGTGGGAGCATTGGGCAGTTCCTCGTCCGGCGGATCCACCTCCCCGTTAAGAGCAGCCTGCAGATGCTGCGAGGTGTTCCGCAAGGCGGGGGCGCACACCTGGAGATGGTTGATCAACTCGATGGCATTGCCCACCCGCTTTTGACAGTGGGAGCAGACGATGGCCCGGAGCTCGGAGACGGGCGAGTCCGGTGCTGTGACCGGTGGCCGGGGTGCCGCCGCCTTGTCCGGTTCCACCTTCCTTGATCCGCTCGGCTGCTGGTCCAGTTGATCCTCTGTGTCCTCCCGACGCCTGGTGGCCAACTGGTGACCCACCGTAGGCACATGGTGGTTCAGCTCGTGGATGGTCAGTGATTGCTTGATGTCGGTGCTGAAGTCACAGGCCGTGCACTTGAAATGGCCGTGGGCCCCGTGGTTCTTGGTGTGCCGGTCCAGATTCCACTTGTAGGGAGTCTGGAAGTCGCACGAGCTGCACTTGATCAGCGGCATGGAGTGGTACTTGACGTGCTTCTTGAATCTGGCTCGGATCGGGGTGCTGTAGGAGCACTTCTGGCACTGGAACTGCTCCACGCCAGGCGGCAGCTCAAAGGAATCCGGCGAGGGACTCTTCGAGGCCTCCTCGGAGTCGGAGCTGCTGTTGTTGTTGTTCTGGTCGAGCTTCAGGGACTCCGGCTGCTTGGGCGGCATCAGCTTGGTCTGGAACTCAAAGGCCATGGAGAAGAGGTTGTCGTGGCCCTCGACGATCTGCTGCAGCTGCATCATCTCCTGCTGGCGGCTGTAGGCCTGGACACTGGCCATAAGCTGCTGCTCCTGCTGCTGCAGCTCGGCCTTGAGCTGCTCCAGCGGCGGCCCGTTCTGGAGCATCCTCAGTAGGCTGGGTGTCAGGCTGGGTCCACTTGTGGCCTGCACCTCGATGCTCTCCTCCAGCCGGCGCTTGCGCACCTCCCTCGAGAGATTCCGCTTGCCACGCATCTGGCCACCGGATCCCGAAACGGCGCCACCATCATCCGAGCAGCCGTGCACCATTTTCATGTGCCGCACCAGCTTCTGGAAATGGCGCGAGGCGTAGAGGCACAACTTGCACTCGTTGATCACAATCCGCTCGCCGTGGACGTCGCGCAGATGGGAGAGATGACTACGGGGATTTTGGGTGAAGAAGGTGCACTGGTTGCAGCTGTAGTTCCGCCGGATTTTGCACTGGGGCAGCTCCTCCTCGTTCGTGGAGGCATTACCCTCCGGCGGCGAGTTCTCCGCATTTTCCTTGGCTGCCGCTGCTGGTTCCGAAGGAACAGCAATCGGAAACATCAAACTACTCATCCTGTATTGCTCCAGTTGGCGCTCCAGCGTTTCCGCACCCATCAGTGGCTGCAAGCCTTGAAACAAAGGCAACTCCTGGCCGGTTTTCAGGGCAGTCTGATACAGTGGTGCTCCATTAACCAGACTGCGAACCACCAGGCGATCCCCTGAACGCTCCACCATGGATGGTAACTCCATGACTCGACAAAATCGAACGCTTGTTGAACTTAACTCCGATTTTATGACTGAATACTTTCCTGGCTTCTCGTGCGAGAGCTGTCGTAAAACTAATCCATTTTTTTCGGTGGTCGTTCTGACTTCTTTCCTTTCTTCCAAGGGTTACTACGTTTATTGGTTTTCCAACAAAAAAAAGAGACTTCAGTGTTTGTTTATGTTTTTAAAGTTATCTATAAAAATACATGGTAAAACTTTAATAAATTCTACCGAAAAAACCTTTAAGAGAGATAATTGTAGAATGTAAATTTTTCATTTATATTTTGTAACACAAATAAGAAGACAGGTACATGTTTTTTTTTTTTTTGAGTGCAGTCAAAAAGTTTGGTAAACAAAATTCTAGGCTTTTAAAATGATTACTCTTGTCTATCTACATATGTATTTGACATTTTGTGTTGCAATTGCAGTTTGGTTTAAATGCCTTTACAACACTTTTTCACCCGATTGGCGATTTCCGATAACACTAAAACTTTCAACTGAGAGAAAACCTACCCAAATCTACTCCGCAAAAAAAAGAGTCCAAAGCTTGACAAAAACTAAAAATCTAGATATTTGTAGGGAAATATGGTTAAATTATAAGTACAGTTTGACCAGAAAATGATTAAAAAACAATAGTTTCAGATAAGTTAAAAAAAATATCTCTTTTTCAAAAAAGCCATTTTGTCCTTTTAGTATGGCAAACATAATTACTTCACTCTAACAGCAGTTAAATAACTATTATCACAAGAACACAAGGACAATATCTGCTTTGTCAAACTTTATTTATGCTGTTTTAAAAAGGGCAGTTGCTTTCTACACATCCTGATAGGCTGCTACGCCTGGTAGTTCCTCCTCCATCTGAGCAAAGTATAGTGGCAGCAACCCCACACTGAGCTTGGGGTTTACCTCCAGCTCCCGGCTGCTGAAATTAAAGAGTGGCGGTAGCGGTTGACCATTGGGCATGGGCTTTTGCAGGGCGTCCATGATGCGCAGCTCGTCGTAGGAGCAGTGGGCACACGCCATCATGGGCGGAATCCGTTCCGAGGATTGGTAGACCAGGCAGGAGTTTAGGAGATCGGACAGGTCCTCTGGCACGGCCACATTTAGGAGCTGATCCCAACTGGGACGAGTGGTCCTCTGGTAAATGGCATCTGGGCACTGGCAGTAAATTTCCGGGGCCCGTTTCAATCCATCGCTGCCCAGCAAATTGATTATGTACATCAGCTCGTGTTTGTGCATCAGAAAGAGGGGAGATCCCTGCAGCAGTTCCGCGAGGACACACCCAGCACTCCAGATGTCCACGGCGCAGCTGTACAGGTTGTGATTGGCAAAGAGCTCAGGGGCACGATAGAATCTGGAGCAGATGTAGGTCTGGTTGGGCTCCCCGGGCATCAAGAAGTCGGCGCTGCCGAAGTCACCCAGTTTGAGCATCATCGTCTGGTTGTTTATCAGCAGGTTGTCCGGCTTGATGTCCCTGTGGAAGATGCCAAAGGAGTGCAGATACGCCAATCCCCTGAAGATTTGGTACGACAAAATGCGCACGTAGACCAGAGCTTCCGGTGGCTGCAACTCCTTATGATAATGTTTTATATAGGTTGTGAGCGTCATCGGCATGTACTCCATTACCAGGAATATATAGCTATTGGACGGAACACCCAAGGTCACGTAGCACTGCATGATTAGTCGGATGATGTTGCTGTGCTGCCCCAGGTGGACCATTATCTCAGCCTCTTTGTGGCAGAGCCTGGAATTGTTTTGGACCTGCTTCACGGCGACCACCTCGTCGGTGCCATCTAATTTGGCCTTATAGACCAGTCCGAAGGCACCACTTCCCACCAGGTGCTTAATCTCGATCCTCGCCGGAATGGGCTCCGAGTTATGGCGTCTTTTGGTATAAGTCGTGATAACCGAGTTTGCCGTTATCAAAGGAATATCATTATTCCCATGAAATCCGGAGTTAAAAGAGTTTCGATGGTTTTCTTGATTTTCTGAAGCGGAAAATGGGCCAAATGCTATTTATAAATCTGTCAGGGAAACTTCAATTATCAGCACTTTTCTCACCCATTTTAACAGTATTTCCCAATATGAGCGAACAACTGGGAAACAAATATTCAGACTTATTTGCACTGTACAAACCAGCAAACTATGAACAAAAAGAAATTTGACTAGTCAACTTTCTATTTTACGAATGGGTATTGCCACATAGTTGGAATGTCAAAACGGCAGGACGATTGATAAGTGTTGGGGAAAAAGCCAATTGTAGATTAATAATTCCAGGAAAGGCAATTTTGAAAAAAACGAGAACTAAAAGAGTTGAGTTCTTTGGCATCTAAGAATACAGAAATTGCTTGCTGCTATTGCGGAGTATATTTTCAAAATTAACTTAATTAAACTACTATTATTATAAGCACTAGACACGAATATTATTATTTTATAGGACTCAAACAACTTCATTTTGTAACAGCAGAGTGATCGATATTGTTAGTAAATTTAAGTAGTATGGAAGCAACCATACAATGCAGCCATTGTAATTTACTTTTAATTTACTCGCAAGATCGTAAAAAATTCAAGACCAAAACTGTACATAATTTTAGGTAGTTTATTTAAAATAGTGTTTTTCTTGTGCTTAATCATAAATTGTAAAATAACGCGAAACGAAGAATAAAGCAAGGATAAAAGCTGATGACTTAAACATACATACATACGACATTGGTAGTCCTCCTGCTAAATAAACATTGACGGTAAGTTTGTTTGTAGCTCGTTGAAATTGCATTGAAATAAAATTGAGAGGGAAAAGGCAACTCAAATATTCGACACATTTGTTTCGATTTTGTTTTGCCAGCGGAAATCCAAAAGTGGATTATGTTTATAGTGCAGTGACTTTAATGCGATAAAAAGTCGGTCGTCGGTTTGGGCCATTATCGTTTCCGCTCTAGCCATCTCCCTCTAGCTCGCACTCTCTATTCGAACGCTCTCTGTCGCTCTTTTGTGCAAAAACTTTCGCACCGAACCCTCCATCAAAGTTTATGGGTCATGCATTTGCGGAAATGTCGCCTGCCAGTGTATTCTCGCTTTTACTCTGCGGTTCAGAGTTGGAATTCATGTAATTCCATTAATACAGACAACTTCCGCTAAAAGAGAAAATGGCCGAACACTCACACTAATGGCCGGTGCGTGAGTGTGTGTGCTGGCGGGTGTTGTGTGTGCTTCCGTAATGGTGTGCTTCCTCTAAAGGAATTTGCTCAAAAATCCTTCGGCTAAGGATGGTTATCTAGTGTGACACGAAACTTTTTTAAAAAAAGCCAAAAACAAACATGAGATATTTTATATATTTCTGTTAAACCTAATCATATAACTTTTTGCATTTATTCAACATGTTATTCGTTAAACAATACTCAAATTGTGTCCCAATATCTATCCCAATATATCATATAAACAAACATTTATTTATGACAAAACGTATATATGTAGCACCTCCTACCGTAAACGCTTTAGTTAAACCAACAGAACTAATCCCACTCCATTCGCATCCTTTTGACACAGCCTTTGCGACATTAAAATTAAATTCCCAGATTCAAATGGCATATTTTACGATGGCATAAATCGGTGTCCGAGCAACAGGTTCTCATCAGTTCCTCACCATGCCATTTGCCCGTAAAATCTCCATGGAAAGCAATAAAAAACTTCCAAACGGAAATGACTGTCAGGCCAAAAGTGCGGAGCTTCGCCCATCCGGGCCAACATTTAGGATATCCGTTTAAACAGCATTTTCTTCCGCCCTCCTTCTCTTTCTCTCTCTATCTCTCTTTCCCTCTGTATATATCTATCCTTTTTCCGGCTTTTAGGGATTTTGTTTTTCTGGGGGCAAAGCTGTCATTGCAGTGCTGGCTGGTTTTCTAGGTCGCTCGGGTATTATAATTACAAAGTGGCTGGCTCAGATGGATTCAAATGGATGTGCTCTAGATGCTTCGATGTGCCGGAACATTTCGCCAGCTCAATGGAAATTAGACATCTATCGCATTTATCAAAACGGTCTTAATGAACCTCAACTCTTTGCCGATGCGTTCATAAATCAAGCCGCACATGTGGCCACTCAAAAAGTTCACTCCTCTAGCTAAATCGGGTCATTTATCAATATTTGAACTCCCAATACCCCTCTTGATCCGTTTTTTTTCCACTTTTTAACTCGGAAACGTTGGCGTTTAATGTGATTTGTGTGCAACTCGTTTGAAATTTGATTCGACAGCATATGCGATTGGATATAAATTATTCTTGGTGCAAGACTTTATAGTACAATAACTTATTTGCACAAATAACCCATTATTGCTGCAATTGTAAAACTATCAAGAAAAATTGGTACTTAGGTACAAATTTTGATTAAGAATTATTAAATATATTTACTTCAATGGTTGATTATCGCCGGCAGAACAGCGAGCAAATCTTTTGAGGTAACCCAAAATTAACTATAGAATAAATACTTATATGGACGAGTACCCTTCAGGTGGAGAGCATTCTTCGAGGCAGCTCAATTGGAAAACGTGCCATATTCGGTTCTCGTGGCCAAGCACTTGACGTTTCAAAGCCAATGGCTTAATGGAAATTCGCAATTCGTGGGAAAATCTTTCAATTGCAGTTGCCCCCAGAACAAAAAGCTGTTTAGACTTACCCACTGTGTAATTAAGCAAGATTTGAATGAGTGGGGAATGAGAATGCGCTGCGAGAGTCGCGCCTGCCACCGCCCACCATACAGTGCCGGATTAAGCTAGCGCGGGGCCTGTAGCAAATTCTGTCAAGGGGCCCTTGCTTTGCTTTAGGTTCTCAAGTTTAGGGTATTAAATAAAACAAAATTGTTACAAATAAACTTTTCTGGATTTAATATGGGCAAATTTAGAGATAACACTTTCAATATCGACTTCTTTAAGCAAATCATGCTCTATATTCAACAAAGTGAGATGATAAAGACGTTCTTGGCCCATCGTGTTCCTTAATTCATTTTTAATACGTTTTAATGTTGAAAAACGTGACGAAATCGAGTTTTATATTTTCAGATGGGAGTAAAGCATAGCCTAAGCGCTTCACGCTTAAGTCATGCAAATTATTTTTAGGTTCCTATCTAATTTTTTTTTTTTACGATCAGATAGGTAGGAGTTGGAGCGCGGCCGCGCGGGGCCCCCAATGCGCGGGGCCCCCCAATGCGCGGGGCCCGTAGCATTTGCTACTCCTGCTATATGGCTAATCCGGCACTGCCACCATAACAAATTGAAAAGCTCCCAATACGCTGAAAGAAATTCAAGTCGAACAACAAGATCAAGTCAATCGTTTGGCAACAAATTATAATCGAGAATATAAATTTGTAACTTAAATTTATACAACATTTATTAAAATGAATTAATAGGCTGAGAAAACTTTGAAATTTTGTTAGTAGTTTTCGAACTGTAATAATAATATTGTTGATTAAAATTTTATTTTTTTTAATGAAAAAGTTTATAAATTTAATAGTGTACAATAATATTATGTAACCGTAGGTATGTATAAAATAAAAAGATAATATAAAAAACAAATATTACATTAAATTTATAAATTGGTTAGTGTTTAGTACAAGAGTTTTTTCTCAGTGTTGGGTGCTAGAACTTGGCCGAATGCTTGCTGGTTGGATTGTCCCAATGTTCGCCAGGTATGTACGAGTATATATAGTCACACCTTTGCGATGCACTGCGGTTACGGTCTCGGACTCGACCTTGAACTTGGTATTAGATGTGAAGCTCTCCAAAACCGGTTAACGGCTCTCGGAGGCTCTTTGTACTGCAAATTAATGGGCAAAGCGCAAGAAATCGGCGACAAGCACGAGGCGATGCCAACAACAAAAAGAGCGGCTTATTGAAGGGCAAGCGGGAAAAACAATTGCACTCTGGGCTAACACAGACATTCTAAAAATTTTCGTTTCCAATTAACGCACAAACATATATTTTATATGGACATTACATTAAGTAGAATAACCAAACAATAAGATAACACAGCTTTAATAAACGGTTACATCCGTATTTTATTTTTACACGGATCGAAAACAAAACAATTTTTATATGTGTGATTTATATGACAAATTTCATTTCTAGAAGGCGTCTAAACTATATTCAAATTTTACATTACTATTGAGAGGTAACTGTTGAAAATTGTAATGCTCTACATAAGGTCTAACAATCATTTTAAATGCAAGCAGCTGCAAATAAAATTAGGTTGGGTGAATCCGGTTAGCCCGTTTCTAATAATAAAAATAATAAATAGATAAAATGTTTAAAAATTAAAGAATTTTGTTCTTATTTTCTGACAGGGTTTCTGATAACACTAGAATTTAACAAAAAAGGAATCTAGCTTTAGCGAGGCAAAGTTTATATACCCTTGCAGTCATCACACATCGGATTAAAATAAGAAAAGTACTGGACTTAGAATTAGTGAGTTTTGGTCAATTTGGGTTTACTAAACCTATTTTTTGGAAATTCGATTAGGTCAATTTTCAGCAAATCTATTTTTTTGAAATAGAAAAAATTAATGATGAAGTTTTTTAAACAATTAAAATTATACCCATTTTTGGTCAAACCTTTTCTTTTTGAAATTTGAAAATTGAAAAAATTAGTCCAAAAAATAAAAAATTAAATAATGATGCCGTTTGTTAGAGAATTAAACAACATTAAAGCTATGACGATTTTCTACTAATTTTTCATATTTTTGACTATTGTTCATATGATACCTTTTTGCAGGGCCGGAGAAACAGTTTTGAGTGGGGTGATGACCTCACAAATTTTCAATACACCCGAATATATTTTTTAAAAGCTATTTTAATAAAACAACCACACCAATCAATTAAAATGCAACAGTTAAAAAAAACTATTTTAAATGTAAAATGTTAATTAAAATCCATTTAATATTAATATAATGTTAATTTAATGTTAAAATAATGTTAATTTAATATAATGTAAATGTAATGTTAACTAAATGTTAATTAAATTAATATGGCCACGTCAGCGACAATAATAATTAGTTATTTTTTTTTGTTTTCTTGCGCCTATAATTCCCAAGTTGTTCTGGCTGATTCGTAGTGGAATACCCCTTGATTTTGGCCAATTTCTCAGTTCTCCGGGATGACCGGCAGTTTCTCTAAGAAACTTTTTCCGGTCTCTGGAAGTGTGTGTGTGTGCGTGTGTGTTAGTGACGTGGTTCCAGAGTGGGAGAGAGTATCTGGACAACTCCTCCTACTGGAGTCCACTCCCGGATGCAGTGCACCATGGGTCGACTCCTCCTACTGGAGTCCACTCCCGGATGCAGTGCATCTTGGGTCGACTCCTCCTAGGATGCACTGCATCATGACCTGACTTGGCATGAACTTAAAGGTGCCCGATCCCTTCCTGCATGTAGTGGACTCCAGGATGCAGGGCATCCAAACCTGAAAAGGTGAGTTGCTGTTTTTTTTAAATTATGTGATGACGTGGTTTTTGTAAAAGAAAATGCAGTTAATTAATTCAATTTTTTTTATATTTTTTTTTCAGGTTTTTGGTTGTGTATTTGGCTGATTGCTCAAAATAATTGGTGACACCATCCAACTTGTAACTTGAAGTTCGACATCAGGATGCACTGCACCAAGGCAGTGAGTACATCCTTTAGACAATAAATAATTAAGTTATATATTTTAAGAAATCATAAATATTTTGCAAAGAAACTAAAAGCAACAGATAAAGATCTGAAAGTTTTTAAGAACATGAAAGAAATTTGAAAGGTAAATTTGATCAAATATTGAACTTGAAGTACATGAAAATCAAACACAATTAATAATTGTAAACAAGTAGGGTCATATAATATAAGTATATATAGTAAGAATAGATATATAGTATGCTGACACCACATAAATGGACTGGACAACAGGCTGCAGGATCAATTATGAATGGCGTGATCTTCTATTGAACTCCACTCCAGGATGCAGTGCATCAACTCATTGGGGTATGTATTTTTTAAACAACCGATTTGTATAAAATAATTTAACTAATATTTTGGAATGCTTTTCATTACATGTGATGACTATTCCTTTCTGCTTGGAGTGTACTTCAAGATGCAGTGAATAAAAAACCCAAAGAGGTAAATACCTTTTTACTAATACCTTTTTTACTAACAAATTTATTCTAACTATTATTATTTGTTACAAATTATTTATTATTATTTTTTTTCTTATTTAATTTCAGGGTAAAGTGTAAAGTGTACATGTTGCGGATAAAGTGGTTGCAGTGGTTATCTTATTGAACTCCACTCCAGGATGCAGTGCATCAACTCCTTTGGGTATGTATTTTTTTAAACAATCGATTTGTATAAAATAATTCAACTAATACATATTTTCAAATTTTCTTTTCATTACAGGTGATGACTATTCCTTTCTGCTTGGAGTGAACTTCAAGATGCAGTGAATAAAAAACCCAAAGAGGTAAATACCTTTTTTACTAACAAAATAATTCTATCTATTATTATTTGTAACAAATTATTTATTATATTTTGTTTGTTTTTTTATTTAATTTCAGGGTAAAGTGTTAAGTGTAAATGTTGCGAATAAAGTGGTTGCGGTGATTATCTTACTCCAAGAAGACGAAAGATTGCAGTGCAGATCAAGGAGCTAACTGAGTAAGTACCAAGATTTATTTATGATAATCTCATAATTATTTAAGTAGTTGTTACATTAAGTTGGAAAATGCTTATCTTGGCAAGTATTTCTATTATCTATCTATCTATTTAAATAGAAACTGATTTAATTGTGCCGTGGTAAAGGCGGGATTTCTCTTCGTTTTTCTTCGATATACTCTATATGCAGGGCCGGAGAAACAGTTTTGAGTGGGGTGATGACCTCGCAAATTTTCAATGGATGTAAATAAATTTTTTTCTACAAGTCAAGCATTTTGGGGTGTTGAATTCCACACCCGCTAAGATTTGGCGTGTGGAGTGCTCAACACCCGGTATACACCTTCCGCCGGCCCTGCCTTTTTGATTTAGTCGTGCGATTTTGATGAAATTTAAGCAGCTATATAATATTGTCAACCGATTTTGATAAAATTTAATTAGAAAGTCAATAGTAGTTAAAAAACACCATTTGGGCGAAATCAATTCGATTGGATCAAAAATAACGGCGTGATAATATTGTCCTCTTATTTTTTCGAATCCTTACTATCCGACTATCCGATATAGTCGCCCGATCCGGTCCGTTCCAACTTATATACTGCGTGCAACAACTACACAACTAAATAAATTTCCAGAAGATAGCTTTAAAACTAAGAGACTATTTTTCATAAAAACAAACAGACGGACAGACGTATTTCGATTCAGATGATTCGTGATGCTGATCAAGAATATATATACTTTATGGGGTCTGAGGTGTCTCCTTCACTGCGTTGCAAACTTCTTAATGAAATTATAATACTTACCCTCTGCTATGGTCACAAGGATACTCCACCTAACAAGGTTGCCACATGACCCTTTGCCATATCAGATTACTTCAGATCGTACAAGTGCTTATTTTATCTACTCCCTGTAAAAGTTTATGAATTTCCTCTCTTCCTTGCTATAAAGGTCTGAAGGTGTAATTTTACAAACTCTTAGCCATTTCTTGATCTCTGACACAAACCATCCAATCTATTTGGGAGTTCAGGGGATTGGCAGCACATTAAATGTGATCATTGATTAAAACTGTCTAAAAGCACAACTCAAATTGCTGTATTATCAAAACCTTCGATGACTCAGAAATTTGGGATTTCCAGCTTTTGCTTCTTATATGTATGTACATATATAAAATCACAAGATTAAGCTTTAATCAATACACTTCGGACGATACAGAATATTTTGGTTTGTAGTCGATGTATGCGCCATATCACCGTTGTTTCTAAACATAAATATATAAAACAGCTCAAATCCAAATAAAATTACATAAAACATTAATGGAAAACTTGGTAAACATGACATTAAGCTGATATTATTTATTGAACAATTAGGCAATAATCTTGTTTACATAGAATTAAGTTATGACTGCAAGGGTATAAAAGCGTTGTCTTTCTGAAGCTTTTTTTATTTTGGTAAAATTATTCGAATTTAGGTCTTATCATCATTTCAGTGAATGTTAAGGAAATGTTCCAGGCATTATTTTGGAATGAACCCCAAAAAATGCCATTAGTTATGTCGCAATGGCCGTCACTGTAGTATTTTCCATTAAGCGTACTGTAATTTATAATGATTAAATTATAACGAAAAAGTTTTATTTGAGCATGACTACCTGTAGGCACATTTATCGAACCACCAGCCTCCAGCTTCTGAACGTGCGCAATTAATTTTATTAATATTGTCATTGTCTCGGTCAAATGTGGTGAATTTCATTCCCTTATGACGAGTCAACGAGTCTCCTGCTGTTCCAGAATATTTTCCCAAAGTTTTAAGCATGTATGATTCATCCTCGCCACCAATTTGGAAGTCATCGTAATTAGCGTAACCTATGGATCTATCAATCTTGCCAATTTTTATGTGAAGTTCGTAAGGTTGCGCAGAGGTCATGATATGCAATTTTTCGAGCCCAATAAAAAACTCTCCTTGAACATTCCCAAATCCGTTCTTATATTCCTCCCAGCTGCGATGGAAATTAACGGATCCATCCCAACGCCTCTGAATTGTAAGCCACCGTGTTGGGGGAACGGAAACTGCCAAAGCATTAAATATGTTCGTTATCTGAACAGATTTTTGCTTGATCTGATCAGTTTGTTTCTGGATATCATCAGTTTTGTTATTGGTTTGATTAGTAATCACTTTTATTTGCATTTGCAACTCAAGAATTTGTTTATCCTTATTTAAAATTTCTTTAGCCAATTCGGTAATATTTTTGTTTATTTGTTCAGCAATTATTAATTGGCTCTGCAGACTCCTGACAGTTTCTGTCAAAGTTGTTTCAATGTCTATTTTATTCTTGAGCTGTTCAGATTGGTTTTTGAGTTGATCATCCTTCTCTTTTAGTTGTTTATTCATTTCCTTGATTTTCTCATCCTGATAATTTAATTTTAAAGCACTGATCTTGACATTACTTTCGGCATCTGATAACTTGATCAGCAAGTTCTTATTATCGATTGTCAGTGTATTAATTTTGTCGCTTGTCTTATTTTTGTTTATTTGTTCAGCAATTAATTGGTTCTGTAGATTCTTAATAGTTTCTATCAAAGTTGTTTCCATGTCTCTTTTATTATTAAGCTGTTCAGATTGGTTTTTGAGTTGATCATCCTTCTCCTTTAGTTGTTTATTCATTTCCTTGATTTTCTCATTTTGATAATGTGAATTTAAAGCGCTGTTCTTAATAATATCATTGGCATCTGATAACTTGATCTGCAAGTTCTTATTATCGATTGTCAGTTCACTGATTTTATCTTTTGTAACGGCTGCTTGTTGGACCTCAGCAAAACGATTGATAATGGGCTCGCAGGCCGAGAAACAATGTGCACTGCACTGATCTCTCTGCAAATCATATTCCGTGTTCCTTGCCGTTGAAAGTGTAGCTGTCTTCTGAAGAAAATACGCAAAAAAAGGACTAAAGAACGCGACTTCATTATAAAGCACTTGTGAATCGTTTCACAATCTACTCAGAACTGAACTCAGCTCGAAATATATGTTATTTTGAAAGAGAAGTAGTGGCCCTTATCAGAAGCCACTGCTAATTTTAA